CCCCCAACTCATTGGCAAGGACTACTGAACACTTTGGGAACCATCCCTCCTGCCCATGGTCAGCAAGAACAGGGAAGCAAGTGCTGCTGCAGGCCCTGAGGCAAAGGAGCAGCAACTCAAAGCTAACTTTTCCACAAGCTGATTTTTTCTGCATGGGCAGAAAAATGAGCAACATACAAGAAGCTCTAATTCACTTTGGCTTTGAGCAAGCTTTGCATTGTTCTTTAGCCTACATATGATAATGAGGAAAACACTGATTTTTGCATTGGGGAAGATTTCCATGACTAAACTGGAACATTTTATATATTTTTCCAGCCTCAAAAATAATTTAGTTTCAGCTGGGCACCAGTAGCTCACGCCTGTAATCCTAGCTACTCCGGAGGCTGAGATCTGAGGCTGGTAGTTCAAAGCCAGCCAAAGCAGAACAGTCCCAGTGAGACTCATCTCCAAATAACCACTCAAAAACTAGAAGTGAAGCTGTGGTTTATAGTGACACAGAGCTAGCCTTGAGCAAAAGAGCTCAGGGACAGCACACAGACTGACCTCACACAGACTGACCCACAACTGACCTCCCCCCCTCAAAAAAGATTAGTTTCAGAAGACAAGGGATTATTTTTAATGAAATTCTTTTTTTTGTTGTTATTGTCAGTCGTGGGGCCTGAACTCTGGGACTGGGCCCTGTCCCTAGCTCTTCAGCTGAAGGCTAGCACTGTACCACTCGAGCCTCAGCCCCATTTCTGGCTTTTTCTGCTTATGTGGTACTGAGGAATCGAACCCAGGGCCTCATGCATGCAAGGCAAGCACTCTACCACTGAGCCATCTTCCCAGCCCTTTAATGAAATTCTAAGGGAAAAGAGGTATATGTGTGTATGTTACAGTACTGGGACTTGATCTCAGGGCTTGGGTGTTGTCCCTAAGCTTTTGTGTTCAAAGCTGGCACTTGAGCCACAACTTCACTTCCGGCTCTCTGGTGATTAATTGGAGATAGTCTCAGAAACTTTTCTGCCTGGGCTAGCTTTGAACCTCGATCCTGAGAGCTCATTAGTAGCTAGGATTACAGGTGTGAGCTACTGGTGCTGGGCCTCAATGCCTTTTTATTTTTTTAGTGCCAGTCCTGGGGCTTAAAGTGGCCAAGCTTATGTTATTACTCTCACTTTTTGGGGGGTCACACTTCCAGTCAGCTAGTTAATGGAGATGACATCTTACAAACTTCTCTGCCTGGGCTGACTTTAAATTGAGATCCTCTAGGATTATAGGCATGAGCTACCAGTGCCCAGCAAAGTCTAATCATTCTTTCTGTTGTTATTTTTGCTTTTTTCAGCCCTGGGACATTGAAATGCACTATTCTGAGGACAGAAATATCTGCTCTACTTGTCGCTACAATTTTAGCATCTAAAAACTCAGCTGGCACACAGAAAATGTTTAGTAACATGAATGAAGAAAAACTACACACACACACACACTAGCACTAGCACTACCTGAAAATGGCCACTGTGAAGGGAAGCCTCATTTGAACTTCCTATGAGAGTTCATAGCAACTGGCAAGATGTTTTAGGGCTGAAGTGGTAAAGCTCTTGCCTAGCATGTGCAAAGCCCTGGATTCTGCCCCCGCCCCTCAAGCACTGCAATAAACAAGATATGGTAATACATTTTACTTAGGAAAGAACTAGTTTGAGATTCTCTCTCTCTGTTTTTGAGACAAACTATTTATGTACCTCAGAGTGGCTTTGAACTAGAAATTCTGCTTTGGTTTGGGATTAGAGTGCTGAGATTACAGGCTGGACATCACCATGTCCAGTGAGAGCTACTCTGACTTCTATCTGGCCTTCCCAGGGGATATCTCTCAATAGTATTATTTGTAAGATAGCAATTTGGCGGGGGGAGACGGGGGTACGGGTAACTGGGCTTGAACTCGGGGCCCGCGCACTGTCCTGTCCCTGAGCTTCACTCAAGACTGGCATTCTATCCCCTGATCCATAGCTCTACTTCTGGCTTTTTGGTGGTTAAAGATGAGAGTTTTATGGACTTTCTTGTCTGGGCTGGCTTCCAACTGCAGTCCTCAGATCTCAGCTCCCTGAGTAGTTAGGATTACATACTTGTGGACCACCGGAGCCTGACTATAAGCTCACTTTTGTTGTATCATGAACTCAGGGCCTGGGCTCTGTCCCTGAGCCTCTATGGGCTTATAGCTAGTGGTCTACCACTTGAGACATAGTGCCACTTTTGGCTTTTTTTTGTATATGTGGTCTGAGGAATTGAACCTGGGGTTTCATGCATGCTAGGCACTCTATCACAGAGCCACATTCCCAGCCCAGGAAATCCATTTTTAAACCACAACCTACCCATCTGTCTCCTATCTCTATAGAGTAAGGGACACTCTGCTCTAATTAAAAAAAAAAAAAAAATATATATATATATATATATATATATATATCCAAAAAAAATTCATCTTCTAAAAGATAGTTCAAAAAGATATTCTCATTCCAGAACTCTTCCCCTGATACCCAGGTGGAAGGGAGAATTCCATCTCTTCTCTGAACTATTTTAATTAGTTATTATCTTCAAAGATTAAGCTTAAGTACCTCACTTTGGGATTCATGGTCTATGTTTGGTCCAAGATATTGTAAATTCACTGAAGGAAGAGACTTCTGTTTTACATTATTTGTATTACTTTGTCACTGATGCAATACTAGACCTGAATATATGAACGAATAAAGTGATGGAGCTCAACAGGCCTCAATTTCACATACATACTTGGAAATAACTGAACAAGAAGTCCATTATTACAGACCAAGCACCAGTGGCTCACATCTGTAATTCTAGATACTTAGGAAACTTAGATCTGAGGATCAAGGTTTGAAGTCAGCTGGAGGAGGAAAGTCTGTGAGACTATCATCTCTAATTAATCAGCAAAAAGCAGGAAGTGGAGCTGTGGTTCAAGTGTTACAATGTCAGCCTTGAATGAAATAGCTAATGGACAGCACCCAGGCCCTGAATTCAAGCCCTGTATCTGGTGAGGGTGCGCACACACTCATGCACACACAAAGTTCATTACTGTAACTACAGAATGGGAACAACATAAGTGGGGGCTGCACTCTAAAGGAAGTGCTTTACCATTTGAGCCACTTACTAGTTTGTTTTTCAGATAGGACTGTAAGCTCATTTTGCCCAGGCTGGCTTTGTACTTTGATCCTCCTAACTGCCTCCTCAGTAGCTAGGAGGTAACTGCAATCCAAAAGCTAAACACACCCATAATCTACCCATTGATTATATCTTCTCTAAAATTTGATGCAAATCTATACTCTTCCTTGTAATTCAGAAGCAAAAGCCCTAATGTAATGTCATTAGGGATTCCTCAAATGTTTAGCTGGAAATTAAAGCTGATGCTGGAGTGTTGGGGATAGTAGCTTAGAGGCAGAGTGCTTGCCTAGGTAGCATGTTCAAGGCCCTGGGTTTGATCCTGAAGATGGAAAGAAAAAAAGAAAAGAAAGAAAAAGCAGCTGCTGCAGAACAGCTCTGAGCTGCCTTTGCCTGCTCTCAAAAGCAGTATTCCTGCGCTCACTAGGAACTAGAAACAGACTGCTGCTTCTTTATTAAAAGGAAGGAGGAAGACAGAAAACTAAAGAGGCCAGAGGAGAAAAGTGATCGGTGTTGTCACGTTGAGGGGAGGGTGCGCCGGGTGGCACTTTCAGTCCACCTTCTTCAGACTTCCAGTCTTTCTGCAATCAAGTGTCAAAGTACAAGTCAATAAGTAATAGATTTTTCCTTTTTTCTCATCCCCATGTTCATTTTGAACGCAAGGAAATAAAAAAGAACCCTGAACAATGGAGTGAGCAGACATCTCTAGTTCATGTCATAAATGGCTACTGAGCAAGGTACACAAACATTGGAACCTATCCTTGCCCCTGAGTTCCCAATTTAGTATATCTTCTATTTTACTTTATCAGTCGTGGGGCTTGAACTCCGGGCCTGGGCACTGTCCGAGCTTTTTCCGCTTAAGGCTGCACTCTACCACTTTGTGCCACAGTGCTACTTCCATTTTTCTGATGGTTAATTGGAGATGAGAGTCTCAGACTTTCCTTCACGTGCTGGCTTCCAACTGCGATCCTCGGATCTCAGCCTCCTGAATACTTAGGATTACAGGTGTGAGCCACTTGTGCCTGACCGATTTAGTAATTTAAACATCAGTCTTCAAAGGAATTTACAGAACCTATCCCCAACCAATCCCAGGTTAGCCTTGGATTCAGTATCTTCATAGTCAGCATTCAGTACTTCACCCAAATCATGGAATAGAAAAAGGCCACAACATTAACATGGATACAAAACCTGTTTAAAAATGCCTAGTTTTCCAATCTCAGGATTTACCACCTTTTCTTTTCAGTATTAGAACAAGCAAAGCAAAAAAGCTCTTGAGAAGTCAGAACGGTAAACCTATCAAGACAAACCTTCAGTTCCCATCACTGGCTGCAATTCAAGATCACCTGCTGGGTTTCCCAAAACCCGGGCTGCACCTCCGACCAATGAAGTCGGAAAACCTGGAGGAGAACCGAGGCGCTGCCCCTCAACTCTTGTGGCGACTGAGAATGTGCAGCAAGCTGAGGACGACGGCTCTCAGTCCCTCTACCCTTGAAATGGACGCGAGAGGACCAGGCCCCCCTTCCTCCGAGCTCCCCCCGCCCCGCCCCTTGTACACAGGCCGCATGCAGTTTTCCCAGACGCAGCTCCGTGGATCTGCGTCCCCCCAGATGCAGCGAGGACTGCGTGTCCCACCTGGAGGAGGGGCCGGTGCAAGCGCTGCCTGCGGTTTAACAAGCTGGGCTTCCGTGACTAATGCACCTGCGCCGAGACCGCGGGCTCCGAGCCGAAGGCCCCGAGAAGCACCTTCCACGCGGCGTGGGCACGCGGCGGGAGGGGGTCGCGGCGGGGCCGGGGGGCAGGGAGAGAGCGGGGCTGTGCAGGCGGCGTGGCGGGGGACCCCCGCCCCCCCCCCCGGTACTCACGCAAGTGCCGCCCAGCTTGTGGCTCTCCACTACCGCGGCCCTGGCGCCCAGCTCCGCCGCCCGGCGCGCGCTGGCCAGTCCTCCCGAGCCGCCCCCGATCACCAGGTAGTCGAAGGAGGCCACGTCGCCGGGGGCCGGCGGCGGGTACTGCGGCTGCGGCTCCTGCTTGCACTCCATGGCGCGGGCGCGGGTGTGCGGGGCGCCGATGGGCGCGGGCGCGAGCAGCGGGAAGCGGGTGGAGGCGCGCGCCGCCCGCCGCAGGCTCGCGCTCAGCGCCCGAGGCAGCAGGGCCATGCGCGCGGAAGTGCGCGGCGGCGAGGGGGCGCGGCCGGGGCGGGCCCGGGGGCAGCGGGAGGGGGGCGCGGGGCGCGCGGGCGCAGCCTCACCGTGACTAAGCACCGGCCCGCGCGGGCAGGGGCGGGGCGGGGCGGCGGGCTCCCGGGGAGGCGGGGCCGAGCGGGCGGGTGGCCGTCTTTGCAGGCGCGTGGGGCGAGGCAGGGAAGCGGAACGGCGAGTCGGCTTTCGCCCAGCCTTCGGGCGCGGGCGGCCGCGCCAGCCTGGCCGTGACTGGGCTCCCCGGGCCCCGCGGGCAGGGCCGAGGCGAGGCCGCAGGGCCCGGGGAGGCGCGTGGGGCCAGTCATTCCCGAACCGGAGCCGGCGGCCTTTCAGGGAAGGGAAATTGGCCTTCGGTAGTTATGGAGGTGCAGGCTTCTTCCCAGTCCACCCGAGTCGCCGCCCGCAGCTACCCCTCTCCGGGAGCCGCGACCTCCTGGGCAACTGGGGTTCGGCCTTGGGTGCGCGCGCAGCCTCTGGGTCCTGAGTTGGCGCCGGGCTCGGTGGGTGGGCCTCTTTTTTGTTCAAGGCTAGCCTTTTGGTGGTTAATTGGGGGTCTCCCGGACGCTCCTGCCCGTGCAGGGTTTGCACTGCGATCCCCACATCTCAGCCTCCTGACACAGTAGGATCACAGGCCTAGTGAGCTACTGGCGCCCAGCATGGCAATTTGCATTTCTAACACACTTTCTGCTGCCTTCAGATGATTCTTAGTACCTCTGGTTTGAGAAACAGGAAAAAAAAAAAGCCAAATAGGGATTTTTTTTTTTTTTTTGGTGTGATTCATACATAAAACTGGGGGACACAAAAGCATCTTCCCAGGCTGAAGTAATAGATGAGGGCTGCCTTTGAAATTTCCACCTATGCTCAGCTTTGAACTTGTGTCCTGATAAACCAAAATCACAGGTCAGTACACAAGTCACAGGAACACAAGGTTGAGCTCACTTCAGGCAAGAACTGAAGGTTGGCCCCAGACCAGCCATGGCCAGTTGAGCACATTGAGGGCAATGGAAACTGCTGTACTGTATTAGAAGGAAATGCTATTTTTTTTTAAAGCTTTTCACCACTTATTAAAAGTAATGTGGAGACGGGTCCAGAGGCTCACATCTATAAACCTGTTCAGCAGGCTGAGATCTGAGGATCAGAGTTCAAAACTAGCCCAGGCAGGAAAGTCCGTACCTAAAAAAGCTGGAAGTAGAGCAGTAGGCTCAAGTGATGGAGCGTCAGCCTTTAGCATAAAAGCTCAGGGACAACCCAGGCTCTGAGTTCAAATCCCTAGGACTGGCAAAGCAAGGAAGGAAGGCTATGCAAAGCAATTTACTAATTGTTAAATAATAAAAGAATATATGACATTTTGTTAGTGTGATGGTAGTGGGGCTTGAACTTAGGGTCCTGCTTTTCACTCAAGGCTGGCACTCAACCACTTGAACCATGTCTTGACCACCAGTTCTGCTGGAGATAAGGATTTCAGGGACTTTCTGCCCTGGTTGGCTTTGATCCTCCATCTTCAGATCTCAGCCTCTTTTTTTTTTTTTTTAATTTAGTTTATTTATGTGGAACTGAGGAATTGAATCCAGGACCTCATGCATACCAGGCAAGCACTCTCAATAAGCCACACTCCCAGCCCCTCTAGCCTTTTGAGTAGCTAGGATTACAGGTGTGAGCCACAAGTGTCCTGCTAAGAGACCTTTATGACGTTTTATTTTTTTTTTTGAAGAAGACATAAACAGCGTTTATTACCTTGGTATATCATAGTGGTCTTGTTGTTGTTCCTTCACATTTAGGTGGTTTTGTCGCCCTCCCTCATCCCAGTCTGGCACCACAGTACATCCTTGAATGATTAGCCCAATGCAGCGACATACTTACTTCCATATCCCTGACACCATTCATTCACAAGGTCAAGGTTCTGGTCCACAGACACTCCCCAACAGGAAGTTCAGTGCTTGCCAAAAGGCCTCCCAGGATGGCTCTCTCCAACAAGATGCCGATGGAAAGCAGCAGCTTGTTGGTTGTTACTTTTCTGGACATTGAACGGAGAATCTTTCGACTCCTACTCAAATTTTCATTTGTGTTTACCAATCTGTTCTTGGTACCTTCCAACTGCTCTCGTTGCTCCCCTAGCTCTTCTATGATTTCTGTGCCAATCTGATCAGTCTCTGTGGCAATCCGATGAGAACACTCAAGACGTTGGGTGGCCTGTTCAGGCTCTCAGTGCCTTGTAGAAGCAATGCCCTCTGACTGTGTAGCCGATTCATACGTTCATTTTCTAAGGCATATGTGCCATCCTTTATGTCTCCTCGGCCCTCAGGTGTGGCTGTCAAAGGTGTGGGCCTCACCTCCCGATGGAGTTTGGCAAGGTCCTTCCGGTAGTTTCGTAGACATCATGGGGTTACGGAAAGACAGGGTTGCATATCGTAGTTCTTCCTCCATCTCTGCCAGCGTTTCATTTCATCAAAATCTCTGATTAACTTCTCTTCGGTCCCGGCTGTCCCCAGCTCGGGCACAGCTCGTAGGTCTTCATGGAAGATCTCAAGTGCTCTGCTCCGAGGAAGCTGCCGACGTGGCCATAATGCTGGGCGCGCTGAGGCAGCGGCTGCCCAGATGCCAGGTGCGGGGGCCCACGCCTCGTCCAGCGGTCAGCCGCCCAGTCTTGCAGCCATTACCGCCGGCGCCGCCGTGACATTTTAAAATGGTTAACCAAGCCATGAACCGGTGGCTCAGACCTATAATCCTAGTTACTCAGGAGGCTGCGATCTGAGGATCACAGCTGGAAACGTTTGGGCTAGGACAGTCAGTGAGACTCTTAACTCCAATTAACCACCAGAAAAACCAAAAGTGGCGCTGTGGCTCAAGTGGTAGAGTGCTCGCCTTGAGCTGAAGAGCTGAGGGACAGCGCCCAGGCCCAGAGTTCAGGGCCCATGACTGACAAAAATAAAAAAATTAATTACTTATGTACACAACATTCTAATATGTAAAATTTTTACTTACATATTATTTGGAAAAATGAGGAAAAAACAGCCGTGATTTCACCACGCTATAATAATCATTTTTCCTTGTTAGCACGTGTCAGTCTCTTTTTCCATTGGTTTCATTTCTAGAACTTTTTTGTTTGTCTTGGTGCTGGTCCTGGGGTTTGAACTACAGGCCTATGCATTGGCCCTGAGCTTTTGTGCTCATGTATAGCTCTACCACTTGAGCCACAGCTCCACTTCCAGCTTTTTTGGGGTTAATTGGAGATGTTCCTGCCGGGTTTGGCTATAAACTTCACTCCTCAAATCTCAGCTTTCTGATTAGTTAGGATTATATACATGAGCTACCAGCACCCAGGACTTTGTTTTTTGTTTTTTTTTTCCATCAGTCCTGGGCTTGAATTCAGGGCCTGGGACTGACCTTGGGCTTTCTTTTGCTCAAGGCTAGCACTCTACCACTTGAGCCACAGCACCACTTCTGGCTTTTTGTGTATGTGGTAATAAGGAATCGAACTCAGGACTTCATCATGCATGCTAGGCAAACACTCTACCACTAAGCCACATTCCATGCCCTAATAAGGTTGTTTATTTGTTGTTTGGCTTAAAAAAATTTTTTTTTGTCTTTTCTTTTTTGGTACTGGGGATCAAACCCAGGACATTGCACTAGCTAGGCAAGCACTTTGCCACTGAGCTACATCCCAGCCCGACTTGTTTTAAAACTGAGGGCTTCGTACTTGCCAGGCAGGTACCCTCATTACCTAAGCCACACTTCTAGCTCATTTTGCTTTCAGTATTTTTAAAATAGGGATTAATCTTGTGAATAGGTACTCATTTTGTGTCTAGGCATCTAGGCAACGCTGGATCTCTATTCATGCTTCCCACACATCTGGAATGACAGGTACATACCACTGCACTCAGCTTTTTACTAGGTGAGATGTGATTTCATCAACTTTTACCTGGGTCTGCCTGTTGATTATGGTATGAGCCACCACACCAAGCTAGCACTTTTTCTATTGCTTTTTTCCCTCAAGGTTAGTAATATACTAACTGAGTCACAGCTCCACTTCTGGCTTTTTTAATGGTTAATTGGAGATAAGACTGTCCTGCTTGGGCTGATTTTCAACCAAGATCTTCAGGTTTCAACCTCCTGAGTAGCTAGAACTGCAAGTGTGAGCCATTGGCACCTGGCTATCACTTTTGTTATCTTTCCTTAAAAAGTGAAAGCTGGGTACCAGTGCCTCATACCTGTAATTCCATGTACTTGGGAGCCTAAGAACTAGAGAATCATAGTTCTTGAAAAGCCAAGCTGGGGCTAGGAATGTGGCTCAGTGGCTTGCTTAGCATGCATGAAGCCCTCGGTTCCATTCCTCAGTACCACATAAACAGAAAAAGTCAGAAGTAGCTCTGTGGTTCAAGTGGTAGAATGCTAGCCTTGAGCAAAAGAAGCTCAGGGATGGTGTCCAGGCCCTGAGTTCAAGCCCCACCACTAACAAAACAAACAAAACCATTTACAGGGGCAGAATAGCCTTTGTTCCCAAAGTTTCACTTTTGTGAGGGATGTGTGGAAGTACAGGTCATTTAATTTGGGGCCTCATACTTGCTAGGCAGTGTGGATTGAGATTCCCCTATTTATGTTTCCTGTGTAGGTGGGATGACAAACATATACCATTACACCTAGTATTCACTGAGATGAGGTCATGCTTTTTGTACAGGTTGGTCTTGAACTTCAAATCTTCCAATCTCTGCCTCCATAGAACTCTGCCTACCAAGTATGTGGAATTACATGTGTGACCAACTGCTCCCAATCAAATAATTTTTTTTTTTTTTTTGTCAGTCATAGGGCTTAAACTCTGGGCCTATGTGCTGTCCCTCAGCTCTTCAGCTCAAGGCTAGCACTCTATCACTTGAGCCACAGTGACACTTCCAGTTTTCTGATGGTTTATTGGGGATTAAGAGTCTCACAGAGGCCGGGTGCCAGTGGCTCATGCCTGTATTCCTAGCTACTCAGGAGGCTGAGATCTGAGGATCACATTCAAAGTCAGCCTGAGCAGGAAACTCCGTGAGACTCTTATCTCCAATAAAGCACTAGAAAACCAGAAGTGGCGTTGTGGCTCAAGCCTTGAGCTGAAGAGCACAAGGACGGTGCCCAAGCCCAGAGTTCAAGCCCCATGACCAACAACAACAAAAAAAAAGAGTCTCACAGACTTTCCTGATCAGGATGGTTTGAGCTGCAATCCTCCGATCTCAGTCTCCTGAGTAGCTAGGATTACTGGCCTGAGCCACTGACTCCCAGCAATCTACCTTTTTTTATACATTAAAAATAGACTGAGCTGGGTGCTGTAATCCTAGCTAATAAGGAGGCTGAGATCTGAGGGTCACAGTTTGATGCCAGTTGGGGCAGGAAAGTCTGTGAAACTTTTTTTTTTTTTTTGGCCAGTCCTGGGGCTTGAACTCAGGGCCTAGGCACTGTCCCTGAGCTTCTTTTTTGCTCAAGGCTAGCATTCTATCACTTGAGTCACTTCTGACCTTATCTATGTATGTGGTACTGAGGAATCAAACCCAGGGCTTCATGCATGCTAGGCAAGCACTGTACCATTAAGTCATATTTCCAGCCTCCATGAAACTCTTATCTCCAATCAACCATTTGAAAACTGGAAGTAGTATCGTGCCCTAAAGTGGTAGAGTGCTAGCCTTGAATGGAAGAGCTCAGGGATAGTGCCTAGGCACTGAGTTCCAGCCATATCACTTACAAAAATAAATAAAAAAATAAAAATAAATTAAAAAAAAATCAGACTGAATAATCTGTGGTTCTTTTGGCACACTTTAATGGGTTTCATCAGGACACTTTTATACATGTATATATTTTGATCATATTAACCCCCATTACATTCTTTTGTAGCACATGTTAAATTAGAAAAATGTGTTTTAAGAATGTTAGTAGCCAGGGCTGGGAAGGTGGCTCAGTGGTAGAGTGCTTGCCTCACATGCATGAGGCCCTGGGTTTGATTCCTCAGCACCATATAAGCAGAAAAAACCAAAAGTGGCACTGTAGCTCAGGTGGTAGAGTGCTAGTCTTGAGCTGAAGAGCTGAGGGACAGTGCCCAGGCCCAGAGTTCAGACCCACAACTGACAAAAAAAAAGAGAAAAGAATGGGGGCTGGGAAGTTGGCTCAGTGGTAGAGCGCTCACCTTGCATGCGTGAGGCCCTGGGTTCGATTCTTCAGCACCACATAAGCAAAAAGAAAAAACCTGGAAGTGGCGCTGTGACTCAAGTGGTAGAGTGCTAGCCTTGAGCTGAAGAGCTGAGGGACAGTGCCCAGGCCCAGAGTTCAGGCTCCACGACTGGACCCAAAAAAAAAAAAAGAAAAGAAAAGAATGTTAGTAGCTAGGCACCTATAGCCTGTAATCCTAGCTACTCAGGAGCCTGAGATCTGACAATCGTGGTTCAAAGCTGGCCTGGGGGCCTGGGAAGGTGGCTCAGTGGTAGAGTGCTTGCCTTGCATGCATGAGGCCCTAGGTTCGATTCCTCAGCACCACAAAAGCAGAAAAAGCTGGAAGTGAGGCTGAGGCTCAAGCGGTAGTGCGCTGGTCTACAGCTGAAGAGCTGAGGGGCAGCACCCAGGCCCAGAGTTCAGGCCCCATGACCCACCAAAAAAAAAATGCTGGCCTGGGCAGAAAAATCCCCATGTGACTTTTTTATGACTTAATTGTGAGCTATCTGTAGCCTATAGCTTAATTAGCACCATTAATAATGAAGACCCTACATCAATCAACATAGTTTTACTGATGATTCCAGGAAATATTTTGCCTCTAAGACAGGTTGTAAATTGGGGCCTACCTTCATTGTGATTCTTACAAATAGCCTGAACATCCATTCTTCTGACTAACAGTTTGCTCAGTTGGCTACAGGGCTTCCTTTTCAGATGGTAAGAGGGTAAATTGAGCACTCATTGGGCAAATCCTCTATGAAAAATAGTCAGGGCTAGGGATATAATTCAGTGATAGAACACAAGTTTAGCATTTGCAAATCCTGGGTTCAATCCCCAGCATTACATGAATGGGTGGGGAACAGGCAAATCAGACTCACCATATTGGGACACTAGTTCCAAACTATTATACTATGAACTATGTCCAATACCAATGAGATCCTCATAATGAAAAGACCATCCTAAAAAAATTGAACCTAGACTACAGAACCACATAAAAAACAACCCTTTACCCTCCTCTGATATTGTAGTACGATTATACCAAAGTACTACTCTCTTTTTTAAATATTTTTATAGTAGGGGCTGGGAATGTGGCTCAGTGGTAGAGTGCTTGCCTTGCATGCATGAGGTCCTGGGTTGGATTCCTCAGCACCACATAAGCAAAAAGAAAAAAAGCCAGAAGTGGCGCTGTGGCTAGAGTGCTAGCCTTGAGCTGAAGAGCTGAGGGACAGCGCCCAGGCCCAGAGTTCAGGCCCATGACCGGACCCCCCAAAAAAAAAATATAGGGGCTGGGAAGGTGGCTCAGTGGTAGAGCACTTGCCTTGCATGTGTGAGGCCCTGGGTTCGATTCCTCAGCACCACATAAGCAAAAAGAAAAAAGCCAGGAGTGGCGCTGTGGCTCAAGTGGTAGAGTGCTAGCCTTGAGCTGAAGAGCTGAGGGATAGTGCCCAGGCCCAGAGTTCAGGCCCCATGATCGGACCCCCTCCCCCCCACAAAAAAAATACATTTTTATAGTAAGGATACTATACACAGGGGTTTCAGTTGTACCAGTCTCTTTGTATGCAGTAAGAAACAGCTTTACTTAGTTGAGTAGGTTATTCTGGTGATCTTTTGTGTGATAGTAGGGAGTTGGTAATTGTAGTAAAAAGAGTTTACAGTCAACATATTTGGCAAATGCCAAATACTGCATAGCTGCAGTAACTGGAAACTTCCATTTTATAGTCCAGAGATTCACTAGTGTTATCAATAGATTAAACTGAAAACAAAGGACACCAGGAGATTATGCTCTCAAATTTTGTACTTGTGATGATAAAATTCCTAGTCTATAGGTACAGAAGTCATCTGTAGCTCTAGTTCCAACTTATCTCTACATACTTTTTTTCAAGCTTTAAACTGCAGCAATGTTTTAACCATTGGTATCTCCTCTTCAGTTTCCCAAACTGCATTATTCCTCTTCAATCCTTCTGCCCAATTCCTAACCTTACAGCACACTCTAGCCATGATTTCCTCAGGAACACTTTCTCCAAGCTGCTAGAGCATTGTTCTTGTAGCTACCCCTAACACAGGACCCAGGCATTGTATTATCTCCTTACAAGGGTTTCTTTCCCACTGAGTTCCTTGAAGACCAGAAAACAAAGAAGAATGCACATACTCTGAACCTCCATGCAATCTACAATACCAGCCAAGCTGTGGAACATAAATGTCTCTTCAACCTAACAGAAGGGTCAAGGATAGCTGAATTGGTGAGAAAACCTTTCTCTCTTGATGCTGGGACTTGAACTCAGGGCCAGGGTATAGCTCCTTTAGCTTTTTCCTGCTCAAGGCTGTGGTTCTACCAGTAGAGCCACACTTCCCTTTCCTGCTTTATAGTCGTTATTTAGAGAGAAGATGCTTACAGCTTTCCCACCCTAGGAAAATGGGGGAGAATGGAAAAGGAATAGACTGGATTCCATCTTCAACAGGCTAGGACTGTTTATTGCCAGCCAGGGGCACAGACCTTCCTGAGGGTATGGAGTTTGTCAGAGGGACTGGATTTGGGGTCAGGCTTATATGGGTCTTAACACGGAAGCAGAAACTAAAAAAAAATAGGCTATGGTCTCTTGGGGGCTAAGGGTGGTGTCCTTGGCCAGACTCAGAATGGTATGCTTGGCCTGGGGTGAGGGGTTCTCAGCTAATCTAAGGTCTGAGTGACCCGTCAACTGACAAGCAGTGAGCACGTACCTGGTGTTTTGCTTGACCTGGGGGAATAACTCGGGAGTCAGTCCTTCAGCTCTGAACTGTGCTTCTCAGATCTCAGTCTCCTGAATAGCTAGGATTACAGGCCTGTGAGCCACCAGAGCCTGGCTGAGAAAGGGGTACCGTTAGGAAACTGAGTCAAGCGGATTCCCATCAGGTACTTCGAAGTATGAACTTTGGTTGTTGGCGGGGACTGCCCTAGCTGAACTGAGCTGCAGGTTGGGAGAAGCCCAGAGGTGAGGGCGCGGCAGGGCAACGACATCACCGGACGGTGAAACCGAGATGAAGTCATTATCACTACCATCACCACTGATTCTGGTCTTAGGGTGTGGGGCGCAGGAAGGCAGGCCCTGCTTCTAGTGTCGATAAAAGGGAGGGAGATAAGGAGGTGCCTAGAACGTTCTAAGAGCTGTCAGCCTCAGCTGCACCGGGTCAAGGGTCCCGGCTGCCTTCTCACAGCTTGCACGGACTCTGACTTTCAGTTCAGTTCACTCACACCTTTCTCATCCCACCAGTTCCTAGGCCCGCCTCTCCTCCAGGAAGCACTGCTCCCACAGTCCCCAGCAGTCCCGGTGTCTTGTGGCTGAGGGAGGTGACTTGGATTCCTTCTGGGGCAGAACGAGTTCACAGACAGGGCGGCTTAGCCCAGAAGCTCAGCGGCCACACTCAAAGCTCGACTCCCAGCACGCTTTTCCCACTCCCGGAAGCGCGTAACCGGAAGGGGCGGGCCCTTTGGCCAGACGCGGGACTTCTGCCGTCATGGCTTCTCGTGCGGTCGTTGGCATTTTCCTGCTCTCTGCTGTCCCTCTCTTGTGTCTGGAGCTCAGGCGTGGGATCCCGGGACTAGGTAAGCGTTGACTGCTCCCCCTTGGTGCTCACAGCTATGCTCTCACGTGTGTTGTGTAGAACTACCTCCTTCCCGTCACGGCGCCGCGGTGCGGTGCGGACTACAATTCCCAGACTGCATCGCGCTCGCGCCGCAGTTGGAGCCTAACGGTATCCTGGGATCCGGCTGAGGGTTCTGCTGAGCACGGAAGGCGGGAAGGCCCCTCACCGTCGCCAATTACTGTGCTTTCTCGTCATGATGAGGCAGGACACATAGATGAGACTGGAGAAATTATGTATTTTATACAAACATCAAAAGGGCCAGACCCTGAAGTTAATAATCTAGGATTAAAAACAAACAGCTAAAGCCGGTCACCCGTGGCTCACGCCTGCAATCCCAGCTACTCAGGAGGCTGAGATCTCAGGATCAAGGTTCAAAGCCAGCCCATGCAGGAAAGTCCTTAATCTCCAATAAACCACCAGAAAACCGGGAGTGGCGCTGTGGCTCAAGTGGTAGAGCTCTGGCCTTGAGATGAAGAGCTGAGGGACAGCGCCCAGGCCCAGAATCCAAGCCCTACGACCGACAAAATAAAAGAAAAAGCTCAAGCCATGGGGCTGGGAAGGTGGCTCAGTGGTAGAGCGCTTGCTTTGCATGCATGAGGCCCTGGGTTCAATTCCTCTGCATCACATAAGCAGAAAAAGCCGGAAGCCGGGCTTACGCTCAAGTGGTGGAGCACTAGCCTTCAGCTGAAGAGCTGAGGGACAGTGCCCAGGCCCCACAACCCCAACAACGTCCCCCCCCCAAAAAAAAAATCCCAGAGCTATCAGCTGCACTGGACATTGATGAAAGTGAACCAAGCAACTCTAGGGCAGCGATGGGAGAGAGGGAATGAAAAAGGGGGAACAGTTTACACTAAGCAAAAGGAAAGAAATGTACATATCAGCTGATCTGGAAAAAATAGCTGTACTGTCAAAGTTTGTAGAGACTATAAGCTTTTAGATCATGATAATGGCAATGCACCTAGTGAAGGTTAAAATGTGTGTGTGAGACTTAAGTATCACAATCCCACAATACTATGAATTTTGCGAAATTTATGTAATCAATCTCAAAGAAAAAAAAGGATTGGGAAATAAAAAAATAAAAATAAAAAGTGGTACTCTACTACTTCGTGCCACAGCACCACTTCCAATTTTCTGGTGGTTAATTGGAGTGAGTTTCAGAGACTTTACTGCCCAGCCTGAATTTGAACCATGATCTCAGAGCTCAGTTTCCTGAGTAGCCAGGATTATAGGAATGAGCCACTTTTGAGGTTTTTGTTTTGTGGGTCATGGGGCTTGAACTCTGGGCCTGGGTGCTGTCCCTGAGCTCTTCAGCTCAAGGCTAGTGCTCTACCACTTGAACCAGAATACCACATTGGTTTTCTGGTGGTTTATTGGAATTAAGAGTTTCACAGACTTTCCTGCCCGGGCTGGCTTTGAACTACAATCCTCAGATCCTCAGATCCCAGCCTCCTGAGTAGCTAGAATTACAGGCTAGATTCACCGGCCCTGGCTTGAGTTTTCTTTGTTGTTTTTGTTTTTGTTCTCCTCACGTGAATTTTGCGTTATCTAAATGAAGACTTCCTCTCGATCTTTGGTGGTGGGTTTGTTTATGGGTTCTGGTACTAGGGCTTGAATTCAGGGCCTCATGTTCTCCCTTGGGTTTTTTCACTCAAGGCTGATGGAACCTTTACCTGGATTCTTTATTTTTTATGATGATGATTATTTTTTAAACATATTTTTATTTTCTTGAAATAGTTGTTTACCTGGGTTCTTTAAATAGTGTGTCAGAGTAAAGATTGAATTGTTTCTCTTCTACAAAAAATTGTTTCTTTTCTACAAAAACGTAAATAATCATTTAATTTGGAATTTGATGGAGTATAACTCTGTGATGAGGTCTACTTAGCATGCTGAAGGCATAGATTTTATCTCAGTACTGACTAAAAAAAAATGAGAATTGTTATTTCATTGGGAATGACTTTTAAATAGAGCTAGAATTTGACAGATACATTCTCACAACTTGATTTCTAGTTATGTAGGTTAGTCTTTCTTTGTCTGTGGGGAGAAAGAAATCCAGAACTTAAGCATTATTGATAAGATATTTTGTAACATAGTTACTACAATTATCCACACACTTAAAGGGGAAGATTTTTGTGATTGTTATTGGTTTTGGGGTTTGTACCCAGATTGGAGCTTTTTGGGCTGCCATTCTGCCACGAGCCATGTTTCCAGCCCTGCTTTTTGCTGGTTATTTTGAAGTCTGTGGAACTTTTTTGTCAGGTTAGCTTTAACCTTCATCCTCTAGGGCTCAGCTTCCTAAATAGCTAGGACTGTAGGAATAAGCCACCAGCACCTGGCTGAGAAAATGCTTATTCTAGAATTGTTTTCTGAAACTTTTTCTGGTAACAACAAACATAATGAATTTTAGGGCCTAAAGCACAATATTTGACAAAAACCATAATACAAGTTTTAGAACTCACAGCTGGAAATGTAGTTCTGTAGTATAAGCTCTGTGCACGACATTCTAGTTTCCATCCCCAACCCTGTAAAACAAAATAAAGCAAAACAAAACAATGTTAAAAGGATCATAGACTGTTGTATAGCTTGTTTTCCATGCTTTATAATTTAAATAATCTATTACTAGTTACTACCAGTAGCAAAACAAGTTCTTTTTAGTTGGGTGTGGTGTCTCATGCCTGTAATCCTACTCAGCAGGCTGAGATCTGAAGTTCACAGTTCAAAGCCAGCCCTGGTAGAAAAGGCCTGAGACTCTTCTATTTTTTTTTGTCAGTTGTGGGGCTTGAACTCAGGGCCTACAAAAAAAAAAAAAAGTCATTTTTTTCTCCCTTTGAGAAATATGTTTTAAATTTTATTTTATTTTTTCCTTTCTAAGGAATTAAAGATCTCATTTTGCTGTGTGGCCGGATTTTCTTACTGCTTGCACTTCTAACTTTAATTATTTCTGTGACGACCTCATTGCTTAATTCATTTAAATCTTCCCAAGTTTATCTGAGAGGTAAGTTCATTATTTATGCTACTCTTTCAGCTCTTCAAATTTCATTTTGTTTTTTAACCAGCAATTTTGCATTTTAAGAACTGTTTTACCATTGACTTGTGACGTGTAATTTCAAGAGGGAGTAGTCAGCGCAACTTCAGTCATGATTATTTTGAATGGACTATACATTTATAGAAACAGCATATTTTTCTTGTATGTACTTTTTTTGTTTTTCTAAGAAATATTTACTGAGCACTCACCATGTGCTGCATCACACACCTGCTGACTGATTCTGTGAAAGTCATAAATTGGGCAGATGTAACCAGGGGGAAGGAGTTTTGGGGTAAGAGGCAGGGAGAAGGGGAATGGCTTTCTGAGCTGAGACCTCATTATGGGAAAGAACCAGGATTCATAGACAGTGTTCCTGGTGGAGGGAAGAGGAGTGCAAAGGTTTCTCTTGTATGTACTTTTTTGTTGCTGTTGTTGTTGGTCATGGGGCTTGAACTCTGGGCCTGGGCATTGTCCCTCAGCTCTTCAGCTCAAGGCTAGCACCCTACCACTTGAGCCACAACACCACTTCGGCTTTTTCTGTTTTTATGCGGTGCTAAAGAATCAAACCCAGGGGGCTGGGAAGTTGGCTCAGTGGTAGAGTGCTTGCCTCACATGCATGAGGCCCTAGGTTTGATTCCTCAGGACCTATACATAAGCAGAAAAACGCTGGAAGTGGTGCTGTGGCTTAAGTGGTAGAGTGCTAGCCTTGAGCTGAAGAGCTGAGGGACAGCGCCCAGGCCCAGAGTTCAGCACCCAGGACTGACAAAAAAAAAAAAAGAATGGAACCCAGGGTCTCACGCATGCTAGGCAAGAATTCTATCACTGAACCACTTTCCCAGCCTATCTTGTATGTAGTTTTGGAGTTATCATTCTAAGTTGTTACATTGTAGATTCCCTAATTTTAAATTGTACATCTGGGGCTGGGAAAGTGGCTCAGTGGTAGAGCGCTTGCTTTGCATGCCTGAAGCCCTGGGTTCGATTCTTCAGTACCACATAAGCAAAATGAAAATAACCGGAAGTGGCACTGTGGCTCAAGTGGTAGAGTGCTAACATTGAGCTGAAGAGCTAAGGGACAGCGCCCAGGGCCAGAGTTCAGGCCCCACCACCGAACCCCAAAATAAATAAATAAATAAATTTATAAAATAAATAAATAAATTGTACATCTGTGTCACCTAACTGCTTATTTACTTGTGCCAGTACTGGGGTTTGAACTCAGGGCCTAGGTGTGCTGTACCTTACTGTGTGTGTGTGTGTGTGTGTGTGTGTGTGTGTGTGTGTGTGCAAGTGCGCGCGCGTGTGCACGTGCATGCTTGTATGTGTGTGTGCGCACGCGCTGGTCCTGGGCACGGTCCCTGGAATCCCTTTGCTCAAGACTAGCACTCTATTGCTTGAGCCACAGTGCTACTTCCAGCTTTTTCTGATTAATTGGCGATAAGAGTCTCAAGGACTTTCTTTGCCAGGCTGGCTTTGAACCATGATCCTCAGATCTCTGCTTTCTGAGTAGCTAAAATTACAGGTGTGAGCCGCTGGTGCCTGCCTATAATCTGGTTTTTTAAAGGTGTTTGACTTCCAAACTGTTCAACTCTACAGACTGTTTTAAGAGAAAATGTCCCTGTTTTTCTGATACTTGGTAATTAGAAGCTTTTTTTAAAAATGTGTTCAATTCTTAGAAGATGAGAAGAAGGAGGAAGAAGAGAATGAACTAAAACAAAGACAAAGACTTGTAAGAAAAAGGCAACAAGAGGCACAGGGTGAAAAGGTAAAGCGCGCACGTGCATACATACACACAGACACACACAGACACACATACTTTTTTTTTGTCAGTTGTGGGGCTTGAACTCTGGGCCTGGGCGCTGTCCCTTACCTCTTCAGCTCAAGCCACAGCATCATTTCCAGGTTTCTGGTGTTAATTGGAGATAACAGTTTCATGGACTTTCCTGCCTATGTTGGCTTTGAACCGCAATCCTCAGATTTCAGTCTCATGAGTAGCTAGGATTATAGAGTAGCTAGGATTACAGGCATGAGCCACTGGCGCCTGGCTAAAAAATAGTTTTATTAAGTAGTTGTACAAAGGGATTTTAATTCCAGAAGTCAAGTTATAAGTACAATGCATCTTGATTAATGTCAAATCTCCCCTATCCCCACCCTCAAGTTACCAGGTTCAATTTTTACTCATTGTACAATGAATATAATAATTGCATTTGCCTATACTTCCTCTCTCCTTTCATGTGTTCCTGGCTTTTTGCTCTTCAATATACTTTGTTACCATTACGGTTCTGTATAATCAATACTTTTCCAAGTAAGTTCTTGCTGTAGGACCCAGTAACACGAGAAAAGCATTTTTTTGGGGGGGGGCCCTCTGGTCGTGGGCCTGAACTCTGGGCCTGGGCGCTCTCCCTCAGCTCTTCAGCTCAAGGCTAGCGCTCTACCACTTGAGCCACAGCGCTACTTCTTGCTTTTTCTGCTTATGGGGTGCTGAGGAATCGAACATAGGGCCTCATGCATGCAAGGCAAGCACTCTACCACTGAGCCACCTTCCCAGCCTGAGAAAGCATGTCTTAAATAAACTGCTCAGACCTTTAACTCCAGGGATTATGTTCTGCACACCCTGTTTTTACTTGTTTTTGTTTTTTGAGCTTTTTTTTTTTTTTTTTTCTTAAAGCTAAAGACCAAACTCAGAGCCTTGTACTTTCTAGGCTAGTGGTTTTCCATTGAGCTAGATCCCGACTCCTGTATTCTAGTTCCTAGTAAGGTTTTTCTTTTTTTTTTTTTTTTGGTGTGAGTGGAGTATTGCTGGGGTTTGAACTCAGAGCTTCACAATTATTAGGGATGTGTTCTACTGCTAAGCCTAGCCTCCAGCTCGTTCATATGCTGGTGTGTATGTGTGTGTGTGTAAGTAAATATATACATATATTTACTTATTTATTTTATATTATTTTATGCCAATCCTGGGCTTGAACTCAGGGCCTGAGTGCTGTCCCTGAGCTTTTTTGCTCAAGGCTAGCACTCTACTACTTGAGCCATAGCTCCATATCTGGCTTTTTAGTGAGTAATTGGAGATAAAAGTCTCACAAATATTGATCCTTACATCTCAGCCTTCACATCCCTTCCCAGTCTCCCCCTTCCCCCACTAATTCCAATCCTTCTCCTTCCCCCCCCCCCAGCCCCACCCCCCCCCCCCCCCCCCCCGCACCAACGTTGTAAAGTTCGTTTTGGACATGACAACTTGTACTTCTCATTGTTGCAACAGGTCCACCTGTATCCTTAAACAACTGGTTTTTCCCCATCTCCTCCACAAGTTATACTGACATCAAATATAGTGAAAGCAAGGGTTATACTGTGGGGGAGGGACATACAAAGCAACAAATATATAATCTTATAAATGTGTTAGAAACACATGCATGAAAGAAAAAAACATTAAAATACACATCTAAGGGTTCATTTTCCTGACATCACATTATCTGACCTTTTCCGCTTGACTCATACATATACTAGATATTACAAATAAGGGAAACCATGGGACCTACGTTTCTTTGGGCCTGGCTTACTTCACTTAATATAATTTTTTCCAAGTTTTTCCATTTCCTAACAAATGGGGCAATGTCATTCTTTCTGATGGAGGCATAGAATTCCATTGTGTATATATACCACATTTTCTTGATCCATTCATCTACTGAGGGGCATCTGGGTTGGTTCCATATCTTAGCTATGGTAAATAATGCTGCAATAAACATAGTTGTGCTGGTAGCTTTAGTGTGGTCTTGTTTGTGAACATTTGGGTAAATGCCCAAAAGTGGGATTGCTGGGTCATAGGGGAGCTCTATGTGGAGTCTTTTGAGGAACCTCCATACTGCTTTCCAAAGTGGTTGAACAAGTTTACATTCCCACCAACAATGAAGTAAGGTTCCTTTCTGTCCACATCCCCTCCAGCATCTGTTGTTGTTAGAGTTCTTGATTTTTGCCGTTCTAACTGGAGTGAGGTGATAAGCTTTTCTGTATGCCAACAATGAGAAAAGTGTGGCTGAAATTAGGAAAGCAACTCCATTTGTAATAGCCCCACAAAAAATAAAATACCTAGGAATTAACTTAACTAAAGAAGTGAAGGACCTCTATGATGAAAACTTTAAAATCTTGAAAAAGGAAATCAACACAGAACTTAAAAAATGGCAAAACCTCCCATGCTCCTGGATTGGAAAGATTAACATCGTGAAAATGGCAATACTTCCCAAGGCTATCTACAAATTCAATGCAATACCTATCAAAATTCCAACCTCATTCTTCAAGGAAATAGAAGAGGCAATCCAAAAATTCATATGGAACAATAAAAGACCCCGAATAGCAAAAACACTCCTGAATGGAAAGAACACTGCTGGAGGAATATCAATACCAAACTTCAAACTCTACTATAAAGCCATAGTAATCAAAACAGCTTGGTATTGGCATAAGAACAGACCTCAGGACCAATGGAATAGAATTGAAAACCCAGAAATGAACCCACAGACCTATAGCCATCTAATCTTCGATAAGGGAGCTAAAACAATAGAATGGAAGAAAGACAACCTCTTCAGTAAATGGTGCTGGCAAAATTGGTTAACTACATGTAGAAAACTTAAGCTAGATCCTTATATATCACCCTGCACCAGAATCAACTCCAAATGGATCAAAGACCTCGAAGTCAAAGCAGACACTCTGAAAACATTACAGGATGGAATAGGAGAAACCCTGGGTCTCCTTGGCTCAGGCCGAAATTTTCTGAATAGAGACCCGGAAACACAACAAATCAAAGAAAGGTTGGACAAATGGGATTGCATAAAGTTGCAGAGCTTCTGCAGGGTAAATGACATAGCTAGCAAGATCAATAGAAAGCCCACGGATTGGGAGAAGATCTTTACTAGCCATACAACGGACAAGGGTCTCATATCTAAAATATACTTGGAACTCAAAAAATTAAACCCCCCAACAACAAATCCTCAAAGAAACAACTGCCCAATAAATAAGTGGGCGAAAGACTTAAAGAGAAACTTCTCTGAAGAAGAAAGAAGGATGGCCAATAGACACATGAAGAAATGTTCAACATCCCTAGCCATAAAAGAAATGCAAATCAAAACAACATTGAGAGCCTGGCTTTTTATTGTTAAGCTGTTGTACAAAGGCGTTACTATTTCATAAGTCAGGTAATGAGTACATTTCATTTTGCGGCAATGTCACCCTTTCCTTTCCTTTCCGCTAGTTTCCCCCTCCCATCCCTGCCCACAAGTTACGTAGTTCATTTTCCACATAGTATATACTGAGTACCATGATTACATTTCCTTCCTCCCTTTCTATAACCCTTCTTTGCCCCACCCCAAAAAGACAAAAAAAAGAAACCCCAAAGCAAAAACAAACACTATCACCAGCAACAATAAAACTATGCCATTTCCTGGAATTTGTTAAATATTCTGAAGAGGTATGCCTTGGGGTTCCTCCTGTAAGAGTATCCTCCTTTACTTTTTTTTTTTTTTTGGTCATGGGGCTTGATCTCTGGGCGTGGGCGCTTTCCCTCAGCTCTTCAGCTCAAGACTAGCTGCTCTACCACTTGAGCCACAGCACCACTTCTGGTTTTCTGAGTGGATTATTGGAGATAAGAGTCTCAAGGACTTTCCTGCACAGACTTGGCTTTGAACCTTGATCCTCAGATCTCAGCCTCCTGAGTAGCTAGGATTACAGGTGTGAGCCACCGGCGCCTGGCTCAGTATCCTCCTTTCTATATTGTTGTTGTTTCCTTCCTTCCTTCCTTCCTTCCTTTCCCCTCCTTCTCCCTCCCCTTTCTTCTTTTTTCACCAGTCCTGGGGCTTGAACTCAGGGCTTGGGCACTGTCCTTGAGCTTCTTTTCCTCAAGGCTAACACTTTACCACCTGAGATATAGCCAGCTTTTTCTGTTTATGTGGTACTGAGGAGTTGAACTCAGGGCTTCATGCATGCTAGGCAAGCATTCTATCACTAAGCCATATTCCCAGCTTCATACTTTTTTTTTTTTTTTGAGATAATGTCTCATTTCTGCCTGGATTTGGGCCTGAACTGCAGTACTCCTATGACACTTCTTCCTGTCATAGCTGGGATGACAGACAGGTTCTACCATACCCAGATAATTTCCATTGAGATGGAGTCTTGTGGACTTTTCTGCCTAAACTAGCCTGGAACCATAATTCTCTCAATCTTAGCTTTCCACATAGGTTGAATGATAAGCATGCCACTGTGCTTAGCTCAGGGGTCTCATGAACATTTTTTTTTTTTGCCAGTCCTGGGGCTTGAACTCAGGGTCTGGGCACTGTCCCTGAGCTCTTTTTTCCTCAAGGCTAGCACTCTACCACTTAGCCATAGCACCACTTCTGGCTTTTTCTGTTTATGTGGTACTGAGGGATTCAACCTAGGGCTTCATGCATGCTAGGCAAGCACTCTACCACTAAGCCACATTCCCAGCCCTCATGAACATTTTTGGCCAGGCTGGCCTTGAACTGCAATTTTCCTGATCTCATCTCCCAAGTAGCTAGGATTACAGGTGTGAGCCACTGCTGCCTGGCTTTACTATGTTTTTGTTGAAATGAAGAATTATATAGAGATGTAGGAGGCATGGTTCAGTTAGTTAAAGCGCTGTTCAGTGAGCAAAAGCAGTAAGTGCTGAGTTTGAGTCCTGGCCTCAGACATTAAAAAAATTATGTATCTAAAAATATGTAAGTAAGGGCTGGGAAGTTGGCTCAGTGGTAGAGCGCTTGCCTTGCATGCAGGAGGCCCTGGGTTCGATTCCTCAGCACCACATAATCAGAAAAAAGAAAGCTGGAAGTGGCGCTGTGGCTCAAGTGGTAGAGTGCTAGCCTTGAGCTGAAGAGCTAAGGGACAGTGCCAAGGCCCAGAGTTCAGGCCCCACAAAAAAAGTAAGTAAATAAAGATATAAATGAATATATAAATATAGCTATATATTGCTACATAAGCATAAGAATAGAACACTTGGTTTTATTTGCATTGTATACAAATGCAAATATTTAGATAGGTACAGAAATGGAGGATGCTCCTTTTTTTTTCTTTTTTTTGTCGGTCGTGGGGTTTGAACTCTGGGCCTGGGGCTGTCCCTCAGCTCTTCAGCTCAAGGCGAGCGCTCTACCACTTGAGCTACAGCGCCACTTCCGGTTTTCTGGTGGTTTATTGGAGATAGGAGTCTCACAGTCTCTCCTGCCCGGGCTGGCTTTGAACCGCGATCCTCAGATCTCAGCCTCCTGAGTAGCTAGGATTACAGGCGTGAGCCACCAGCACCCGGCTAGGATGCTCCTTTTTTGACAGAATGGAATCTGTGAAAACAGTTTATAATCAGGTTCTAATTTATAATTAATTTGTAGACAGTGTACATTTTTAGGAACACTATACTAATAGCACTCTTTTTTTTTTCTTGAACAGGCTAGCAGATACATAGAGAATGTTTTAAAACCTCAGCAAGAAATGAAATTGAAAAAAATGGAAGAACGCTTTTATCAAATCACAGGTGAAACCTGGAAGTTGACCAGTGGTCACAAACTTGGGGTTAGAAAATACTCTCATTTTATATTTTGAATCTTATTTATTTAAATGTTTCATACACACATAGAGTTTTATAAAATTTAAACTGTGACAGTACTCTTTGTTGTAGGAGTCTTTTGTTGTTGTTGTTGGTATTAAGGTTTGAATTCAGAGCTTTACACTCTGCTTTTTTATTTATGGTAATGTATTACTTGAGTCGTTCCTCTCCTTCCCCTTTTTTCCAGTTGGTTGGAGATGAAATCTTGAGGACTTTGCTGCCTTGGCTGGTTTTGAACTGAGATGCTCAGATCTCAGCCTGCTGAGTAGCTGGCATTCCAGGTGTGAGCCACGGGCGCCTGACTACCAGTCTTCATTGATAATGATTTTGTATCAGTTTATACTCAGCATATTTTATTTGTAAAGTTTTTAACTCGATTTCTAAAGAGCACATATCTTAAATAGAAAAGCTTTAGTGCAAAGCTGTCTCTCAGAAAACTGTTGAGTAATCGCTGTTTTAAGGAAATTCTGACTTTCCCTCAAGTAAGATCTATAGTTCATGTTTGTCTTTTTTTTTTTTTAATTTAATTATTTTTGGTCAGTTGTGGGACTTGAACTCTGGGCCTGGGCGCTGTCCCTTAGCTCTTCAGCTCAAGACTAGTGCTCTACCTCTTGAGCCACAGTGCCACTTCCAATTTTCTGGTGGTTTATTGGAGATAAGAGTTTCACAGACATGGGCTGGGAAGGTGGCTCAGTGGTAGAGCCTTTGCCTTGCATGCCTGGGTTCAATTCCTCAGCACCACATAAGCAAAAAGAAAAAAGCCGGAAGTGGCGTTGTGGCTCAAGTGGTAGAGCGCTAGCCTTGAGCCAAAGAGCTGAGGGACAGCGCCCAGGCCCAGAGTTCAGGCCCCAGGACCGGACCCAAAAAAAAAAGAGTTTCACAGACTTTCCTTCCAGGGCTGGTCCTGGGCTTGAACTCTGGGCCTATGCATTGTCCTTGAGCTCCTTTCATTCAAGTCTAGCTCTTGAGCCTTTTCTCTTTTGGCTTTTCTCTATGATTAATTGGAGATAAGAGTCTTATGGACTTTCCTGCCTAGGCTGGCTTCCAACCGAGATCCTCAGATCTCAGCCTCCTGTGTAGCTAGGATTATAGGCATGCAACACCAATACTGCCTTGTTTCTGTTTTTAAAGGCAATTTAGCTTTTTTATTCTCCTCTTCAGCTTTGATTACAAATTTTGTTACTTGGTAATGGAAGTTTAGATTTTTAAGTTTTCTTACAGAGTAAAAGGATATCCTAAAGACTTGGTGCCTGTACTGCAGCTTGAACCAGGGCCTTGTATTCCCATTTGGACTTTTTGTTCAAGGCTGGCACTCTTATCATTTGAGCCATGCCTCTGTTTCTGGCGTTTGTTTTTTCTGGTTAGAGGTAAGAGTTTCTTGGATTTTTCTGCCCAGGCTGGCTTTGAACCTGGTGATTCATCCTCACATCTCATCCCTTAGAATTTACAGGGGTGAGCCACTAGCTCACCTGGCCAAGACATTCGGTCTTAAAGTAGCTGGCTACAGATTTTCTATGATGGCCTTTTCTGTTCCAAAGATGCTTGTTTTTTTGATTCCCGTTTATACTGTACTTTTTGTCATCTTGTAAAGAAAATAATTCAACAAAAGTACAACAGGATTCTTAGTCTCTGTTTCATAATGGCAAATAATGTCAAAATAATCAAGAGTAGGTAATAAAAGTGATATGAAAGATGGCAACATAACGTATATGTTACCTGGGCTGAAGTAATCTTATACTAGCCTCTCCAGTCACTGGGATACATCTTACTGTTTTTTTGAGACGGGGTCTCAATATGTAGCTCAAGTTGGTTTTGAACTCCCCTTAATGCCTATTCCTCATGTTCCTTCTACCACTGTATTTTTACTTTTATTTATTTATTTTTTGGTTGTGGGGCTTTAACTCAGGGCCTAGGTGCTGTCCTTGAGCTTTTTTACTCAAGGCCAGTGTTACCACTTTGAGCTACAACGCCACTTCTGGTTTTCTGGTGGTTAATTAGAGATAAGAATATCCCTGTCTGGGCTGACTTTGAACTGCGATCCTCAGATCTCAGCCTCCTGAGTAGCTAGGATTACAGGTGTGAGCATGAGCACTCCTCTCCACCACTTTGTCTTAGAACAAAGGAAGGGGGCCAGGAGGCGGTGGCTCACGGCTGTAATCCTAGCTACTCAGCAGGCTGAGATCTGAGAATCACAGTTCAATGCCAGCTTGGGCAGCAAAGTCCATGAGACTGTTTATTTCCACTAAACTAAAAAATAAAAGCCAGAAGTGGAACTTTGGTGCACATGGTAGAGTGTTAGCCTTAAGTACAAAAGGTCAGCATGCCTAGAGTTCAAGCTCCAGAACTTGCAAAAAAAAAAAAGAAAGAAAGAAAGACACCAAAAAAAAAAAAAGAGCAAAGGAAGGGAGATAAACTCACTAAATGGTACGTTAGTCTGCTAAAGAAAAATTTCTCTCTTAGAAGGTTAGTAGCTGTGAATGAAAGGAGTTACTGAACTTAGTCTTACTTGAAAGTTATTAAACTAATGAGCCAATAGTTAAGAATTTGATGTTTTAGGAAGTTATATTGCTAAGGCAACAGTTTTAGTAGATGTGTTATTTTTGAGTAGCTCTGACTAAAATACCTGAGAGACCTACTAAAAGGAAGGAAGGTTTATTTTGGCTTAGGGCTTTAGAGGTGTCAGTCCATCCTAGTGGGAAGGGAAGGACAAAGCAGAGTAGCTCACTTCATGGTGTCCAGAAAGCAGAGGAAAGGACACACAGGAAAGTCTCGGGCAAAGTAGATACAGCTCACAGTAACTTACTGCCCCCCAACTAGGCCCCACTTTCCAGTTTTCCCAGTAGTGCCATTTATGAATCCAGCAAAGGGTTAATCCATTCATTAGGTCAGAGTTGTCAAGATCTAGTGGTCTCTGGACAAGCCCAGAGGTTTGCTTTACTAATTGAGCAGGTGATTCTCAATCCAGTCAAACGAACAGCCGTGATTAATCATCATAATAGAATAAATAAAGAATAATCTTTTTAATTCCTGGGATAAAATATTTGTCTCCTACAGTGATTAAAATGGAAAGTAAAAGCTTAAGTTTGAAAATGAGAATGTTTCTTTTTTTTGGGTCCGGTCATGGGGCCTGAACTCTGGGCCTGGGCGCTGTCCCATAGCTCTTCAGCTCAAGGCTAGCGCTCTACCACTTGAGTCACAGCGCCACTTCCGGCTTTTTTCTTTTTGCTTATGTGGTGCTGAGGAATCGAACCCAGGGCCTCTGACATGCAAGGCATGTGCTCTACCACTGAGCCACCTTCCCAGCCCGAATGTTTCTTTTTTTTTTTTGGTCAGTCGTGGGGCTTGAACTCTGGGCCTGGGCGCTGTCCCTCAGCTCTTCAGCTCAAGGCGAGCGCTCTACCACTTGAGCTACAGCACCACTTCCGGTTTCCTGGTGGTTTATTTGGAGATAGGAGTCTCACAGTCTTTCCCGCCTGGGCTGGCTTTGAACCGTGATCCTTAGATCTCAGCCTTGTGAATAGCTAGGATTACAGGTGTGAGCTACCAGCACCCGGCTGAAAATGAGAATGAATGTTTCTATATAACCCGATGTGGATGCCACATAGAGCAGTGGAAGCTTTACATGGTAACATACCCCTTTCCTTAGTATAGATGTTCTATTTTCAGTCTTTGAAGGCAGACTCTTTAACACTTCCTACTTCTTTCCTTCACTGAAAGGAGGAAAGGATATCAATCAGGCTTTTTTTCCTTCTTGCATTCTGCTGAGAAACTTAGGGGTTGATTAATCCAGAGTAGAAAGAGCCTCACTAGCCTTTCATCTATCAGAGGGAACCGCAGAACCGGATATGGGGATCACCTGCAACACATTTAAGCGCTGTTTTGTTGTCCAGAGAGATAATGGTTTCACCATTGTGAATAGAATAAAGTAGATAGAAAGTATGTCTTCAGAACTTTTCTCTTGTTTTTGAGCAGGGTAATGAAGATTTGGTGACAGAAAATACAAGTCAGACATCTTCGGAAACATCAAACAGAGAAGCTGCAAAGAGAAGGAACTTGGATAAACTTGTAACGGAAGTTTCACCACCTGCTGAATGGCCCTGGCAGAAGCAGGTTCATTGTTTACCCCTACCCACTGATAACATGTTTTGGCACACTAGGATTGTGGCTCTGATAACCTTACTAAGTGATCAACTTCGTTATGATTTGCTTGACCTACCTATCTATTTATTATTTATTTATTTTTGGGTCCGGTTGTGGGGCCTGAACTCTGGGCCTGGGCGCTATCCCTCAGCTCTTCAGTTCAAGACGAGTGCTCTACCACTTGAGCCACAGCGCCACTTCCAGCTTTTTTTCTTTTGTTTATGTGGTGCTGGGGAATCGAACCCAGGGCCTCAGGCGTGCAAGGCAAGCGCTATACCACTGAGCCACCTTCCCAGCCCCTGCTTGGCCTATTTAATGTTAGGATTCTGAACCAAATTTAAAGGAAAGCTATAAGTTATAATAGGCTTAGAAATACTTAGATTATGTAGAAATGAGAAATAACAATTTACTAAGGGAAATATTCCTATTAGGTAACTTAAGACAATTATGACTTGTTTTGTGAATGGCTAAAAGTTGCTATAGGTTGAGTATCTCTTATCTGAAATTCTTGGGACCAGACTATTTCAGATTTTGGAATATTTGTATATACATAAAGAAATAATCTTAGTGTAGGACCTAAGGGCAAGCAGAAATCTTTGTATGTGTATAGACGGGTGCCAGTCATCTCAGATATTATTATTTTTTTTTGTCGGTCATGGGGCTTGAACTCTGGGTCTGAGCACTGTCCCTCAGCTCTTCAGCTCAAGGCAAGCACTCTACCACTTGAGCCACAGTTCCACTTCCCATTTTCTGGTGGTTTATTGGAGATAAGAGTTTCACATCTTTTCTTGCCTGGGCTGGCTTTGAACCATGATCCTCAGATCTCAGCCTCCTAAGTAGCTAGGATTACACGTGTGAGCCACTGACACCTGGCTCAATACTATTTTATAATTTGTTGTTAGCACAGAGTTGCTTATTGATTGTGCCCTCATTTCCTTTTACTTACTTTTTTCAGTACTGGGGATTGAATCCAAGGCCTTGTGCATGCTAGGCAAGAATTTTACCACTGAGCTACCTCATTTTTATCACAACCTTTTTTTCTTTTTTTAAATTTTTGTGTCGGTCGTGGGGCTTGAACTCTGGGCCTGGGCGCTGTCCCTCAACTCTTCAGCTCAAGACGAGTACTCTACCACTTGAGCCACAGCACCACTTCCGGTTTTCTAGCGGTTCATTGGAGCTAAGAGTCTCACGGACTTTCCTGCCTGGGCTGGCTTTGAACCGGGATCCTCAGATCTCAGTCTCCTGAGTAGCTAGGATTACAGGCGTGAGCCACTGGCGCCTGGCTATCACAACCTTTTTATAGATGTATACTGAAAGTAAAACTTACTAAGTTTAGCTGCATTCAAACTATATTGAAAGGGAGTCTTTTTACTGCAATTATTAATTATTTTAAAAAATATTTACATTTCTCTATGACTCATATTTCTTTAGGTTCCTGATTTACCTGAAGAGCCTTCTGAAACAGATGAAGAAGTAAGCTTTTTTTTTTTTTTCTTTAAAAATTAAGGGCTGGGAAGGTGGCTCAGTGGTAGAGTGCTTGCCTCGCATAAGGCCCTGGGTTCTATTCCCCACATAAGCACCACATAAGCAGAAAAAGCTGGAGTGGCTTTGTGGCTCAAGCGGTAGAGTGCTCGTCTTGAGCTGAAGAACTGAGGGACAGTGCCCAGACCCAGAGTTCAGGCCTCATGACTGACCAAAAAAATAATAATAAAATAAATTTATTCCCTCTTTTCTTTAACATCAAGTAAGCCTGTCTTGTCTGAACTTGAGCTTAGAGAGAAAAGGTAGCTTGAGTTTGGAAGCCTGCTGTCTGCTGGATTACCTTTTTTTTTTTTTTTTGTCGGTCATGGGGCTTGAACTCTGGGCCTGGGCGATGTCTCTCAGCTCTTCAGCTCAAGGCAAGCGCTGTACCGCTTGAGCTACAATGCCACTTCCGGTTTTCTAGTGGTTTTTATTGGAGATAAGAGTCTCACAGACTTTCCTGCCCGGGATGGCTTTGAACTGTGACCCTCAGATCTCAGCATCCTGAGTAGCTAGGATTACTGGCGTGAGTCACCGGCGCCCTGCTTGGATTACTTTTTAAAGCCACCCATTGCCATAGGCAGTGAGGTGGTACATATGGACTTTTCTGGAACTTCAGGTCAGCAAATGAGCTATTTACTAAAACAGAATCAAAATTAGCAGATAGGTACAACTTATAGTTCTCACCTTTAAAGAAGACTGGCCTGGGAAGATGGCACAGTGGTAGAGTGCTTGCCTCGCATGCATGAGGCCCTGGAAAAAGAGAAGAGGAAGCCTATAGCTATGTGTACGCTGGCTGCTCTTCCGGTTGGCTGGGACTGCTCCTTCTGCACCAAGCTGCTGTTCCTAGTGCTTTTTTTTTTTTTTTTTTATTGTAAAGCTACTATACAGAGGGTCACAGTTACATGAGTGAGGTTATGAGTACACTTCCTCTTGAACATTGTTACCCCCTCCATTGTTTTCCCCCTACCATCCCCTCCCTCCCTCCCTTCCCCGAGGTTCTTTTTTTTTTTTTTTTTTTTTTTTGATTGTGATTAAATGATTACATAATTTCAAAGTCACAAGTTCATTCTAACTTCCCTGGAGCAAATTGTCTACCACAGTCTGTAATATATAACAGTGTTCACATGTTATATACCATATTTGTGATCAGCAGCATGAGGATATTTAGTAGTGGTTCAACCAGATGAGCGGGAGTTCTTTGTTTCTTAAGTCCTGTTAGTTTTGTCGTATCACTAACCTTTTGGATTTAGCATCCACTTATGAGGGAGACCATGTACCGTTTGTCTCTTCGTTCTTGGCTTACCTCGCTCAACATGATTCCTTCTAGCTCCATCCATTTCCCTGCAAATGCCATTATTTTGTCATTTCTAATGGCTGCATAATATTCCATTGTGTATAGATACCACAATTTTTGGATCCATTCATCTGTGGTGGGGCACCTAGGTTGTTTCCATATCCTAGCTATTGCGAACAGTGCTGCAATAAACATGGAGGTGCACGTGTCCTTGTATATTGGTTCCTGTTGTTCAGGGTAGATGCCTAGAAGTGGTATGACTGGGTCGTAAGGGAGGTCAATCTTTAGCTTTCTAAGGACCCTCCAGACTGCTTTCCAAAGTGGTTGTATAAGTGTACATTCCCACCAGCAGTGTAATAGGGTTCCTCTTTCTCCACATCCCCTCCAGCATTTGTCGTTGGCTGATTTGTGGATGTGGGACATTCTGACTGGGGTAAGGTGGTATCTCAGGGTTGTCTTTATTTGCATTTCCTTCACCACCAGGGATGATGAACATTTCCTCATGTGTTTCTTTGCCATTTTTATTTCTTCATTTGAGAAGTCCCTCTTTAGTTCCCTTGCCCATTTAGTAATTGGTTTGTTAGGTTTGGGAGGGATTAGTTTCTTGAGTTCCCTGTATATACAGGATGTTAACCCCTTGTCTGATATATTGCTGGTAAATATTTTTTCCCAATTAGTTGGTTGTCTTTCTAGCTTAGTTGCGATAGATTTAGCTGTGCAGAAGCTTTTTATTTTAAGGTAGTCCCATTTGTCGAGTCTCTCTCCAACTTGTTGTGACCCTGGGACTCTGTTCAGGAAGTTCCTTCCTGTGCCTATTAGTTCAAGTGTCTCTCCTACTCTGTCCTGCAGTAGTTTCAGAGATTCAGGTTTAATGTTAAGGTCTTTAATCCATTTTGAGTTGATGTTGGTGCATGGTGATAGGCTGGGGTCCACTTTTAGTTTTCTGCATGTGGCTGCCCAGTTTTCCCAGCACCAGCGGTTGAAGAGGCTGTGTTTCTTCCATTGTATGTCTTTGGCTCCTTTGTCGAATATCAGCTGGCTGTAGCCCTGTGGATTTATATCTGGATCTTCTATTCTGTTCCATTGGTCTTCGGGTCTGTTTTTGTGCCAGTACCATGCTGTCTTTGTGATTATAGCTCTGTAGTAGAGTTTGAAGTTCGGCATGGATAGCCCTCCCATATTGTCTTTATCCCCTAGAATTGTTTTGGCTATTCTAGGTCTTTTGTTGTTCCATATAAATTTTTGGACTGTTTTCTGTATTTCAGTGATGTACGTCATTGGGATTTTAATAGGAATTGCATTGAATTTGTATATTAATTTTGGAAGTATCACCATCTTTACTATATTAAGTCGGCCTATCCAGGAGCATGGGAGGTCTTTCCATTTCCTAGTGTCTTCTGCAATTTCTTTCTTTAACTTTTTATAGTTCTCATTAAATAGTTCTTTTACATCTTTGGTTAGGTTAATTCCTAAGTATTTTATTTTTTGGGAGGTTATTGTGAATGGGGTTGCTCCCTTTATTTCCCTCTCTTCCTGTGCGTTATCAGTGTATAGGAAGGCAACTGATTTTTGTGGGTTTATTTTGTATCCTGCTATTTTGCCGAAGTGACTTATGATTTCTAAAAGTTTGGGGATGGAGTTTTTGGGATCGTGGAGGTATAGTATCATGTCGTCTGCAAAAAGGGATAGTTTCACTTCTTCTTTCCCTATGCGGATCCCTTTAATGTCTTTTTCTTGCCTTATTGCCCTGGCTAAGGGTTCTAGGACTATGTTGAAGAGGAGTGGAGACAGTGGACATCCTTGCCTTGTTCCTGTTTTTAGGAGGATTGGTTGTAGCTTTTCCCCATTAAGTATAATATTGGCTATTGGTCTGTCATAAATGGCTTTTATTGTTTTTAGAAATGTTCCTTCTATTCCTATTTTCTCCAGAGCTTTTAGCATGAATGAATGTTGAATTTTATCAAAGGCCTTTTCTGCATCTGTGGCGATAATCATGTGATTCTTGACCTTGGCTCTGTTGATATGCTGGATTACATTTATTGACTTACGTATGTTAAACCATCCCTGTGTCTCTGGGATGAAGCCTACCTGATCATAGTGTATTATTTTTTTTATGTGTTTCTGGATTCTGTTAGCTAGAATCTTGTTAAGGATCTTTGCATCTGTGTTCATCAAGGAGATTGGCCTGTAATTCTCCTTTTTGGTTGGGTCTTTGCCTGGTTTGGGGATGAGTGTGATATTGGCTTCGTAGAATGAGTTTGGGATAGCTCCCTCCTTCTCTGTTTCTCTGAAGAGCTTGAGGAGTATGGGTATTAGTTCTTCTTTAAAGGTCTTATAGAATTCTGCTGTGAATCCATCTGGTCCTGGGCTTTTTTTTGTTGGAAGACTTTTGATAGCTTCCTGTATCTCATTATAGGATATTGGCTTATTTAATTGGTTAACTTCTTCTTTGCTCAGTTTGGGTAACTTGTATTTCTCTAAAAATGCATCCATTTCCGCCAGATTTTCTTCCTTTAAAGAGTATAGCTTTTGAAAGTAGTCTGTTAGAATTGTTTGGATATCTTGGGTGCGTGTTGTGATGTTTCCCGTGGCATCCCTAATCCTATTAATATGGGTTTCCTCTCTTCTTTTTTTAATTAATCTTGCCAACGGGCCATCAATTTTGTTTATTTTTTCAAAGAACCAGCTTTTTGTTTGGTTTATTTTGGTTATGGTTTTCTGATTTTCTAATTGGTTAATCTCTGCTCTCAATTTGGTTATCTGGCTTCGTCTAGTAGCTTTAGGTCCCATTTTTTCTTGTTTTTCTAGCTGTTTTAGTTGCAACATGAGATTATTTACTTGGTCTGTCTCCATTCTCTTGATGTGGGCACTGAGGGCAATAAATTTGCCCCTCAGGACTGCTTTTGCTGTGTCCCACAAGTTTCTTTGTGAGGTGTTTTCATTTTCATTGAGTTCTAGGAAATGCTTTATTTCTTCTCTGATCTCTTCTGTTACCCAGGCCTTGTTAAGGAGTGTGCTGTTCAATTTCCATGTATTAGAGAAATTTCTGCGGTATGCTTTGTTATTGAGAGCTAGCTTGATTCCACTGTGGTCAGATAGGATACAGGGGATTATGTCGATCCCTTTGTATTTGCTTAAGTTCCTTGAATGAACTATGATATGGTCTATTTTGGAGAAAGTTCCATGAGCTGCTGAGAAGAATGTGTACTGTGTTGTTTTAGGGTGAAATACTCGGTAGATGTCAGTTAATTCCGCTTGAAGTATGGCCTCACTTAATTCGGTAGCTTCTTTGCCAATCCTCTGGTTGGTAGACCTGTCCTTTGGTGAGAGTGGCGTGTTAAAGTCTCCTAGTATTATCGTATTGGGATCTATTTTATTCTGTAAGTTTGAGAGCATTTGTTTAACATATCTGGGTGCACCGATATTTGGGGCATATAAGTTGATGATGGTTATATCCTCCTCTTGGATTGTTCCCTTTATTAATATGTAATGTCCGTCCTTGTCTTTCTGTACTGATTTTAATGAAAAGTTTATTTTGTCAGGTATCAGGATAGCTACACCTGCTTTCTTATTGGGGGAATTTGATTGGTAGATCCTTTTCCACCCCTTCACTCTGAGTTTGTTTGTATGTTTGGCTGAGAGGTGGGTCTCCTGAAGGCAACAGATGGATGGGTCTTGTTTTCTGATCCAGTCCTCAGTTCGTTTTCTTTTAATTGGCGAATTCAGCCCATTTATATTAAGAGAAAGTATAGAGAGATGCATTGTTGTCCCTGCCATTCCGTTTTCCTAAGTTTTTCTTCTTTCCTTTCCTCCTGTGCTTGCTCAGTTAGACTTTGAGTAATGCCTGTTTGGGGCAGGTCCCAGTTCCTGGTTGCTTTCTTCAGGTTGTGTCCCCCCTCTTAGAATTCTTTGTAATGCTGGCTTAATGTTTATGTATTCATTTAGTTTTTCTTTGCTATTAAAAGTTTTCAGTTCTCCATCGAATGTGAATGCTAGCTTTGCCGGGTATATCAGTCTGGGTTGGCAGTTATTGGCTCTCAGGGCTCGTATGGTGCTTTCCCAGGCTTTTCTTGCATTCATTGTTTGTGTGGAGAGATCTGCAGTGATTCTAATTTTTTTCCCGTTGTAGTATAGCTCCTTCTTCATTTTTGCTGCATGCAGGATTGTTTCCTTATTATTCAGATCCATCATTGTTACTATTATGTGCCTAGAAGTGTTTCTCCTGGGATCTTGCTTGTTGGGTGTTCGATAAGCTTTTGTGATGTAGTTAAGATGGTCGTTTTTGAGGTGGGGAAAATTTTCATTGACTATCTTGTTAAATAGGTGTTGCATTCCCTTGCTCTGGAATTCCTCACCTTCGTCCACTCCGATTATGCGAAGGTTAAATTTTTTAGCATTATCTGCTTGCTCTTGAATTTCCCTTTGGTTTAATTTGAGTGATTTTTCCATATCTGTCACTTTTTGGTCCAGTTGGTGTATTCTGTCTTCTGTATCTGACACTCTACCTTCCATTTCATTCACTCTGTTGACCGTGGCTTCTATTGTGGTTTGCATGGTGGAAATGGATCCCTTTATGGATTCAATGTTGGTTCTCAGAGTACTGATCTCACCTCTCAATGAGGTGATATCAGTATGCATTACCTCTAATTTGGCGTTTATCTCACTTCTTACTGAGGTTTGTGCAGCTTCTATTTTTGCATCCAATTTTTGTTTGATATCCTGTATATCTTTTGATAGTTCATCCTTGTGCTCTTTCAATTTCTGATCCATTTCTCGCTTTATTTCTTGAGTCATTGCCTCCAGCAACCCTTGGATGTAGTTTTTGTCTTCCATTCCTGCTTTGCTCCCACTGGGGCTCTCCCCTGCGTGGCTGCTGGCTTTTGAGGTGAGCTTGCTGTCCTGGGTAGTGGTAAACCTTGTGATTTTTCTCTGTGATTTTCGCATGGGGGTTCAGGAGACTGCTCTTCAATCTTGTTTTGGTGTGTCTGTCTTTGCTTGGTTGCTGATTCTCTATTGGTAGAGAGAGTCTGTGTCTGATCTGGATTCTGTTGGGAGCCTATTTCCAGCTGCTATTCACTTAGGATTCTCAGCTCTCTGCTGTAGCAATTCCCGCCTTTGGAAGGGTTGAGCAGCCTAGACTGCTTGTGTTTGCTCCTGCGGGTGCTCTTGGGAAGATCAGATGCTCTGGATGCACTCTCCCAAATACTGGAGTCTGCTATGGGCTCCTGATGTGTTTTTGTTTGTTTTGGGCTGGTTGTGGGCTTGAACTCTAGGTTTGGGTGCTGTCCCTCAGCTCTTCAGCTCAGGGCTGGCACCCTACCATTTGAGCCACAGCCCCACTTCTGACCCTTTTTGCTTTGTTCAGGCACCGGTCCCCTGGCCTGGTTCCGGCCCCAGCCTGGAGCGCGCTCGTTAGGCCTGTGCTAATGTGTATACCACCTTGGTTATGCAGCCTGGAGGACACAGTTCAAATTTCTTCTACTGATGGTAGTCTTGACCCAGGGGCACTGTTCCTGGCTTGAGCATTTAAGCTCCCTTCCCGGGGCGCTCTTGCTCTGGCCTGGCCAGCAGAGTGTGCTCCACCGGCTGGTGGGGCTCTCGAACAGTTCCCAGTTTTAGTGGGTCCTGTGGTCCGGGTGTTGGGGTAGGGAGTCTAGGTCAGGGTCTGGGGATTCCCTCCAGCTCTGGTCTCCCTTGATGGATTCCCTGTCCCCTGATGGGTACTCACCCTGTAGGTCGTCAGTTGTTGTTGCAGTCCGTCAGTTGTTGTTGCAGTCCGAGTTCAGTTGGGGTGGTTGCGGGCTGGGTTGGGCGGCCCCCCGCCGGGTCGTTGCAATCGCGACAGGTCCCTTTGTGGCGCTGCTGGTGCCGGGCGGCTTTGGCGGGATGGAGCCTCTCCGCTCCGGTGGAGAGTGATGGGTGGGGTGGGATCCTCCTGGAGACTCCCGGCTGGTAGGTTTCTCTGTTCCTGGCGATCCGCTGTTCTGCAATCCGGTACCTGGTGATCTGCAAGCAGCCCCCTGTGTCTCTGTGGCTCCGGCAGCCCCTGCCGGGCCGGCTGGCCGGCGGCTTGGCGCACTGCCGCGCGGCCAGTAAAGGTTGGGGGAGGGGTCTTCGCTCTTCTCTGTTCTGAAATTCTTCTTTTCCTCTCTTTCTTTTTTTGTTATTTTCCACCTCTGGTTTTTCTCTGAGTGTTCGTCTTTTTGTTGTTGTCGGTCTCTTGGGGAGATTAAAGGTTGGAACTCGAACTCTCTTTTTGGTTGGAGAGAGCTGTGGCGTTTCCCTACTGCCCCGTCGCCATCTTGAGAACCGCCCCTAGTGCTTTTATTCTTATTATTTTTGCTGAACCTGGGGCTTGAACTCAGGGCCTAGGTGCCGCCCCTGAGCTTTTCTGTTCAAAGCTGTTTACACCTTGAGCCACAGTTCTACTTCCAGCTTTTTGGTAGTTATTGGAAAGAAGAGTCTCATGGATTTTCCTGCTTCGACTGGGTTCAAATGGTGATTGTCAGATCTCAGCCTCCTGAGTAGGATTACAGATGTGAACCACTGGCATCTTGCACTCCCCCCACCTTTTTTTTTTTTTTTGCCAGTCTTGTGGCTTGAACTCAGGGCCTGGGCTCTGTCACTGAGCCTCTCTGTGCTCAAGGCTAGTGTGCTACCACTTGAGCCACAGTGGCACTTCCGGCTTTTTCTTTTCTTTTTTTTTGTTGGTCATGGGGCTTGAACTCTGGGCTTGGGCGCTGTCCCTGCGCTCTTCAGCTCAAGGCAAGCGCTGTACCGCTTGAACCACAGCACCACTTCCGGTTTTCTAGTGGTTTACTGGAGATAAGAGTCTCATGGGCTTTCCTGCCCTGGCTGGCTTTGAACTGTGATCCTCACATTTCAGCCTCCTGGGTAGCTAGGATTATAGGTGTGAGCCACTTGCGCTCGGCTCCGGCTTTTTCTTTTTATGCAGTACTGAGGAATCAAACCCAGGGCTTCAGGCATGTTGGGCAAGTTTAGCAACTGTTCTCCTTGGAGACATCGCCCCTTTTCTCTTCCCCAAATAATTTCAGCACGTTTCATTGTTCAGCTTGCTTAGATGCGAGCAATCTTTTTCTAGCCATATTCATCCTACTCATCCTCCTTTTGCCACCTTCAAATTTGAGGTGGTCATGAAGGCATTCTGGAGGCATGTGCCTAGGCCACTTGCTGAAGCCCTGAGTGTACTGCAAACAAAAGCACAGCTAGAGGAGACTCATGAGTAGAGATCTGAGTTCAAACCCCAGTTGTGAAATGAAGAGAAAGAAAGAGAGGAGAGGGGCTGGGAAGGTGGCTCAGTGGTAGAGTGCCTGAGGCCCTGGGTTCGATTCCTCAGCACCACATAAGCAAAAAGAAAAAAGCTGGAAGTGGCGCTGTGGCTCAAGTGGTAGAGTGCTAGCCTTGAGCTGAAGAGCTGAGGGACAGCGCCCAGGCTCAGAGTTCAGGCCCCACAACCAGACCCCCCTCCCCCCCCCCCCAAAAAAAAAGAGAGTAAGGAAGAAAGGATCATTGAGCAAGGCCTTTTCTCTGTGTGTAGTTGTTCCTGTGCATAGATGTCTAATAATTTTTGGTGGTAGTACTGGGGTTTCAACCTCGGGGCTTTGTGCTTTTTTTTTGTCAGTTGTGGGGCTTGAACTATGGGCCTGGGCACGGTCCCTCAGCTCTTCAGCTCAAGGCTAGCACTCTACCACTTGAGCCACAGCTCCACTTCCAGTTTTCTGAGTGGTTTATTGAAGGTAAGAGCCTCACGGACTTTTCTGCCTAGGCTGGCTTTGAACCTTGATCCTCAGATCTCAGCCTCCTGAGTAGTTAGGATTACAGGTGTGAGCCACCAGCTCTGCTGCAGTCCAGTTTCTTAGTTCTATTATAGGGCACTGTGAGCATGGGATGACAGGCATGTGCCACTGCACCCAGCTGTGGGTTGAGATGGGATCTTTTTTCTTTGTGGGCTGGCCTCAGACTGCCATCCTCCCATTTTGATCTCCTGAGTAGGTAGGGTGATAAATGCTGGCCACTGACACCTGGCTTACATGAACATTCTTATTCCTCAGGTAATAACCATTGCTCTCCGACGTCCAAGTGGGAATGTCCTGAGGAGAAGGTTCTTTAAGTCTTGTAGTTCACAGGTAAGTGAGGAATTTTATGGGAGAGGTGTAGTCTCAGACATTTGTAGGTGTTTTGTCTTGCAAAATTTGGATAACTAGGCATGTTGGGCAGCCTTCCTGGTTTTTGGAGCTGATGACGGAATCTAGGGCTTAGACTTGCTAGGTGAACAGTATACTACTGAGCTCTATCTCGTTGTTACTCTACCACTTGAGCACAGCACCACGTCTGGCTTTTTCTGAGAAGTATATTAGAGATAAGAGTCTTGGACTTTCTTGCCCTTGGCTGGCTTAGAGCCATGATCCCCGATCTCAGCCTCTTCAGTAGCTAGGATTACAGGTGTGAGCTACTCGCTACCAGCAGCACCAAGTTTCTCTCTCTCTCTCTCTGTCTCTTTCTTTCTTTCTAGATTTTAATTGGCACATAGTTATTGTACATCTTTATGGGCTACAGTGTGACATTACAGTACCCCATGTGCTGATGAGATCGCATTAATTGGCACTCCTGTTACCTCAGGCATAAACAGTGTTCAAAACATTTTAAATCTTATTAGCTATTTGGAAATTTTCAACTAGTAGTTATCCTGCTGTGTTAAGTTTTCTGTCTAGCTGCAGCATGTTTCCAATAGTCAGCTTATAGGTAAGGCATTTTTTTATTATTATATATTTTTTGTCGGTCGTGGAGCTTGAACTCTGGGCCTGAGCACAGACCCTGAGCTCTTCAGCTCAAAGCTAGCTCTCTCTACCACTTAAGCCACAGCGCCCACTTTGGGCTTTTTCTGTGTATGTGATACTGAGGAATTGAACTCAGGGCCTCTTGCATGCGAGGCAAGCACTCTGCCACTGAGCCACCTTCCCAGCCCTAATAGGCATTATAAATCCTTAAGTAAACAGTATTTGCTTTGATCCCATTATCCCTGGTGGATTATCAGCTTATGTCCCATTGCTCAAATGTAATTTTCAGATCAGGTTTGTTTGTTTTTTTTTCCAGTCTGGGTGGCTTGAATGCTGGGTCTTTGTGCTGTTCCTGAGCTCTTTTGCTCCAGGCTAGCGCTCTACTGCTTGAGTCACAGTGCCACTTCTGGATTTTTCTGTGATTAATACGAGTCTCACAGACTTTCCTGCCTGGGCTGGGTTCAAACTGCGATCCTTAAGATCTCAGCCTCCTGAGTAGCTAGTGTGAGCCACCAGTACCCAGCTTCAGATTAGTTTTTAGGGCTTATTTCCTTTGGCCTTAATGGAGAGATCTTGTTTCATTCATATTAGAAAGAAATTGGAAAACAGAAAAATAGGAGAAAAAGTGTGATGCCAAACGCCAGTTACAGATATTTTTCTTATTTTCATTTCTAAATATATTTAAACATAAATTACGTATGAGTTACAAACACTTGTCGGAGCCAGGCTCAAGCCTGTACTCCTAGGTACTTGGGAAGAGGGGACTGGGTGGGGGGGGAGGAGGTTATAGGCAAAAATATTTCTCAGACTCCATTTCTCCATTTTAACCAATTGCTGGGTGGGATGGCACCTGGCTGCCACCCAGCTGTTGGAGAAACACCGTGGTTTGGAGCAGGGGAGTGCAATTCTAATCCTAGTGAAGAAGGAAAGCTCAAATAAGCTAGGCCAGCTTGGCCAGAAAATGAGATCCTATCTTGAAAAAGCCAATGTAACAAAGTGGCTGATGGAGTGGATTACCTGGTAATGGTAGAGTACCTGCCTAGCAAGTCAGAGGCCCTGAGTAAACTCACCCTAGTATTGCCAAAAAGGAAGAATACATGTAGGGCTGGTGGTGCACTTCAGTGGTAGAGTCTTGGCCTAGCATTCCAAGGTCTAGGTTTCCATACCCATTGGCATGCACACACACACATACTCACACAACTTCTCTTTTAAGAGCTGGGCATTGTGGGCACGTATTGACACTCCCAGCACTTGACAGGCTGAAAAGGGGATCCCAAGTTTGAGGCTAGGCTGGGCCATATAGCAACACCATGTGTCAATCAAACAAGAAAAAGAATGACAGCTGGCACCAGTGGCTCATGCCTATAATCTAAGCTACTCAAGAGACTGAGATTTAAGGGCTGAGGTTCTAAACCAACCCAGGGAGACAAATCTGAGAGACTCAGCAAGAAGTTGAAAATGGGGGCATGGCCAATGGTATGAGTGGAAAAAGCCCAAGCCCCTGAATTTAAGCCCTACTATATGGGAGAGAGATAGGCAGACAGAGAGAGAGAGAGAGGGAGAGATAAGTGAATGCAAGTAAGATACTTTGAAAAGCCCTCTCCCCTCCACCCCCATTTATGAGAATTCATTCTATGGAAGTAAGACTAGGTAAATTACAGACCTTTACAATTATGACATAGCTGGGGATGTAGCTTATCAATAGAGCTGATACTCAGCATGTGCAAGGCTGAGTTCAATTCCAAGCACAGCCAAAACAAAGTAAAATTAAAAATGAAACTTAGGACAGAAACATTACTTGAAATATCAGTAGTTCTTGGATGGTGACTAGCAGGTGAAATCAGGGATTGATTATACTTGAAATCGTATGACATTCCTCTGGAATATTCTGTCATGTATTTTTTGTTGGTTTTTTTGGTCCATTGTGGGGCTTGAACTGTGGGCCTGGGCACTGTCCCTGAGCTCTTCAGCTGAGGGCAAGTGCTCTACCACTTGAGCCACAGCACTACTTCTGGCTTTGAGTAGTTTATTGGAGATAAGAGTCTCACAGATTTACCTGCCTAAGCTGGCTTTGAATTGCGATCCTCAGATGTCAGCCTCCTGAGTAGGTAGGATTACAGGCGTGAGCAACTGGCGCCCAGCTTACTGTCATATACCTTTTGTTTTTAATGGTATAGGGATTTGAAATGAAGGCTTTACACTTTCCTTGGCTTGATTACTAGGCTGCTGCTCTGCCACTTGAGTCATATCTTCAGCCCTACTTTTCACTGGTTATTTTGGTAGTGGAATCATGGGCTGGCCTTTTCTTTCTTTTCTTTTTTTTTTTTTTGTGCCAGTGGTACTGGGGCTTGTACTCTTCCCCTGCTTTTTCAATCATGGCTGGCACTCTTCACTTGAGCCACACCTCCACATCCAGATTTTTGCTGGGTAATTGGAGGTAAGTCTACAGGACTTTTCTGACCTGGTTGGCTTTGAACCTCAATCCTCCTGAGTAGCTAGGATTGTAAACATGAGCCCAGGCTGGCATTGAACTGAGATCTTCTGGATCTCATCTACCTAAGTAGCTCTAATTTCTTTGGTACTGGAGTTTGAATTAAGTCCTTGTGCTTTTGAGGCAGATACCCTACTGCTGAGCCATGCCTCTAACCCTTTGCCTTGTTTATTTATTTATTTTTATTTGAACTCAGGGCCTGGGCAGTGTCCCTGAGCTTCTTTTGCTCAAGGCTAGCACTCTTCCACTTGGGCCACAGTGCCACTTCTGGCTTTTTTGGTTTCTGTGGTACTAAGGAGCCGAACCCAGGGTGTCATGCATGCTAAGCAAGCACTCTATCACTGAAGCCACATTCCTAGCCCTTCAGTTATTTTTGGAAAGAGTCTCACCTTGCTCTTATTTTTTTATTGGTTTAGTATTGGGGCTTAGATTATATATGTGAGTCACTATCCCCAGTAGTAAGTAGAAAATTTGATGATTATAGGAATTAACACAATCTTGCTATGTTACTGCTCACAAATTTCTAGGTTTCTATCCCAAGTAGTTGGGATTACATGTATTCACTGCTATGCTTCACTTTTCTTCATTGATGTTTTGTTGCTGGGGTTCAAACCTAGAGCCTTGTGTAAATATGGCAGACAGAAAATGTCTCAACATTATAGGACTGGTTCATGGAAAAGTCAGGCTATTATAAGGGAGTTGTGTGTGGGCATATGTCTTGTAATAGTTTGTAAGTGACTTTATTTTGGGGGGTTAGTTCTAGGGCTCAAACTCAGTGTTTTGTAATTGCTAGATAGGCCTTCTACTGCTTAAGCCATGCTGCCAACACTCCTAAGTGATTTTGGTGTGTTGCATTGTTTTAGATTTTGATCTAAATAACTTTTCCCCAAAATGCTATCCTTTTATTCTCAATCTGCTCACTGAATACTTTCTCCATTCCTTGTGCGTGGATGAGGCTTTTGTTGTGTTTAAACACTTCTGCTGTCAGATACCAGCAAACCCTACGCTTTGTCTGGAATAAAAGGTATTAAAAACGTTTTAGAGATTGTGATTTGCTATTCTCCTTTAAACTCTAGAAAGTTAGAAAGGCTTGGGAGTCTTTCTCCATTACTTCTCGGGACATGATTTCACAGGAACTGAGCTTTAAGGTGTCACCGTCACAGTGACCTAGAGGAACCTGAGTGTACAGCATTTATAGTCATAAGCTTCTTATCTTCTAGGTCTTGTTTGACTGGATGAGGAAAATTGGATACCATCCATCTCTCTACAGCCTTTCTACATCCTTCCCCAGGAAGCCTCTGGAGGTGGAGGAAGGCTGCTCCCTGGCCGATATAGGAATAACTGTGGACACTGTACTCATTGTGGAAGAGAAAGAACAGGGCAACTCGTAAAGAACTGTCAGAAACTATGATTCTACTTACAGTCATCTATACTATGACCTCAGATCCACATTAAAATCATGCCATACCTTGATAGAGCTCAAGGCAGCACAAACTTCAGTGTTGTTATCAGTGGGAAAATAGCCACCTAAAAATGGGGAAAAGATGGCTTTCTGCATATAATTAGTAGGCTGTGCCATCTTTAGTGGACCAAAACAAAGATGAGGTAAAAATGTATATAGTGAGGTATTAATTTTATACTTTCATTAGCGGACATCTTAGGATGTTAAAAGTCAGACCCAGGTATGGTAGCACATGCTCCTAATTCTAGCAATCCCGGGCAACACAAGATTCTGTCCTGAAACCAAAAAATAAACAAAAACAAAAAAACACTGAAGTCCTTAAGACTTTGATTTCTGCCTCTTCTTGCTGTCTTACCACCCAGTATTTCACCATTTAACTAAACCCATCAAGTCTAAGTGGGAATGTTATTTTATTGTTTATTTAGAAATAGTTTCATTTCAAAGCCTTTCAAGGTTTCAGTTGTTTTTGGTAGATATACATTATTCAGTGGATATCTGCTGTTTATATAGTTTGGTCTTGTATTAAGTTGTAATATTCTTTTTTTTTTTTTTTTTGCCAGTCCAGGGCTTGAACTCAGGGCCCGGGTACTGTCCCTGAGCTTCTTTTGCTCAAGACTAGCACTCTACCACTTGAGCCACAGCACCCCTTCTGGCTTTTTCTTTTTTCTTTTTTTTTTTCTGTCGGTTGTGGGCCTTGAACTCTGGGCCTGAGCGCTGTCCCTGCACTCTTCAGCTCAAGGAGAGCACTTGGGCTACAGCGCCACTTCCGGTTTTCTGGTGGTTTATTAGAGATAAAGAGTTTCACAGACTTTCCTGCCCAGGCTGGCTTTGAACTGCGATCCTCAGATCTCAGCCTCCTGAGTAGCTAGGATTACAGGCGTGAGCCACCAGCGCCCAACTATTTCTGGCTTTTTCTGTTTATATGGTACTGAGAAATGGAGCCCAGGGCTTTGTGCGTGCTAGGCAAGAACTCTACCACTAAGCCACATTTCTAGCCCCAGTTGTAATATTTTTAAATTTTTTTTGTTATTATAAAGATGATGTTCAGAAAGGCTACTATTACATAAGTCAGGTAAAGAGTACATTTCTTTCTTTTTTTTTTTTTTTTGGTCGTGAGGCTTGAACTAAGGGCCTGGGCGCTATCTCTGAGCTTTTACACTCAAGGTTAGTATGCTACCATTTTAATCCACAGCTCTACGTCCAGTTTTCTGGTGGTTTATTGGAGATAAGAGTCCCATGGAGGGCTGGGAAGGTGGCTCAGTGGTAGAGCACTTGTCTTGCATGCATGAAGCCCTGGGTTCGATTCTTCAGCACCACATAAGCAAAAAGAAAAAAGCCGGAAGTGGCGCTGTGGCTCAAGTGGTAGAGCGCTAGCCTTGAGGTGAAGAGCTCAGGGACAGCGCCCAGGCACAGAGTTCAGACCCCATGACCAGACTCCCAAAAAAACAAACAAACAAAAAAAGAGTCCCATGGACTTTGCTGTCCAAACTGGCTTTGGACTGTGATTGTCAGATCTCAGCCTCCTGAGTAGCTAGGATTACAGGTGTGCCACTAGTGCCTGGTAAGAGTACATTTCTTTTTGGACAGCGTCCCCCTTCCTTTACTCTCTCCCAGTTTTGGGTTGTATTATTCTTAAAGTTGCAGGTGACACTGAGTTGTTACCTTTCCTTCCCCTCCACCACAATGGAACAGTGGGTTCCAGTGTGGTGGAGATGTATGTCAGCCAAGTATGCCTGAGGCTCTGCAATTTGATCTCTAGAACCATAAAAAGACAAAATTATGAAAGAACCATGAAAGCCTTAAAATACAGGTGAATTTGCTAGGCATGATAGCTCATGCCTATAACCCAGGTCCTTGAAACACAGAAACTGGATCATGGTTCAAGGCTAGCCATGGAAAAAGGAGATGCCATCTCAACAAATGAACTAGCTGTTGGATAAATCTAGATGTTGACGTCTTATAACTACAGTACTCCTCAGGAGCCTGTAACCTGGAGCATCATGCTTAGAAGCCGGCCAGGACAGAAAAGTCAGACTCCTGTCAGGCTGGGCACAAGTAGCAAAATGCTGGCCATTACAAGCAAGTGTGAGGCCTTTGGTTCAAGTTCAGGTACTAGCAAAAAAAGGGATACCGATGAGATTAGCTAAAGGAAGGAAAAGAAGGCTGGGAATGTACTTCAGTATGTATGTGCATGGGTGAGTTCCCAGTACTGGATAGGAAAAAAAAAAATAAAAAAAGCCAACGTTCTCTAAGCCTTTTTCTTTTTTCTTTTTGCCAGTCCTGGGGCTTGAACTCAGGGGCCTGGGCACTGTCCCTGAGCTTTTGCTCAAGGCTAGTGTTCTGCCACTTGAGCCACAACGCCACTTCTGGCTTTTTCTGTTTATATGGTACAGAGGAATCAAACCCAGGGCTTCATACACACTAGGTAAGCATTCTACCACAAAGCCACGTTCCCAGCCCCTCTAAACTATTTTTTGAATAGTGCTGGGGATGAGTATCACTGCTACATTTCTAGCCTGAATGAACTACTCAGGTTTAGAAGATGCTCAGCCTGTCCAGATGACTGAAGGCTAAAATTAATATGGCTCTAGGCAGCAAAGATCAAATCTGGGCACTGTTAGGAAAGCATGGCTTAAAGATAAGGGCACAGGTATAACTATATTATGGAAGACTTGAGAAAAAATCATAAGTTGTTGATGCCTCTGCATCAGATTAATGCTCTGGTGTAGTGCATCCAAGTAATCTCAACTACTCTGGAGGGAGAAACAGGATCAGGAGTTTGAGGCCAGTCTGCATAAAGCCAGCAGGACCAGAAACAAAGGGCTTGCAGGCATAATTTAAGAGTTTGAGTGCTAGCTGGGAGCTGGTGGCTCACGACTGTAATCCTAGCTACTCAGGAGGCTGAGAAGGTTGAGATCTGAGGATCGCAGTTCAAAGCCAGCCCGGGCAGGAGAGACCGTGAGACTCCTATCTCCAATAAACCACCAGAAAACCGGAAGTGGCGCTGTAGCTCAAGTGGTAGAGCGCTCGCCTTGAGCTGAAGAGCTGAGGGACAGCGCCCAGGCCCAGAGTTCAAGCCCCACGACCGACAAAAAAAAAAAAAAAAAAAAGAGTTTGAGTGCTTAGAAACCACAGGGGAGGGATCCAGGACTGAATGGGGGAGATCACAGAAAAATTCATGTTTTAAAAATTACATCTAGTCACGTGCTGATGGCTCACATGTATAATTCTAGCTGCTCAGGAGGTTGAGATAGGAAGATCACAGTTCAGAACTAGCCTGGACAGTAAAATCTGTGAGACTCTTGTCTTCAATGACCCAGAAGCCAGAGTGGAATGTGGCTCAAGTGGTAGAGTGCTCACCTTGGGCAAAAAACACAAGAGAAAGGGGGCTGGGAAGGTGGCTCAGTGGTAGAGCTCTTGCCTTGCATGCATGAGGCCCTGGGTTCCATTCCTCAGCACCACATAAGCAGAGAAAAGAAAAAAGGCGGAAGTGGCGCTGTGGCTCAAGTGGTAGAGCGCTAGCCTTGAGCTGAAGAGCTGAGGGATAGTGCCCAGGCCCAGAGTTCAGGCCCCATGACCGGACCCAAAAAAAAAACAACAAAAACACAAGAGAGTACCAGCACACACAAGAAATCAGTGTTGGGGCTGGGAAGGTGGCTCAGTGGTAGAGTGCCTGACTTGCATGCATGAGGCCCTGAGTTCGATTTCTCAGCACCACATAAGCAGAAAAAACCAGAAGTGGCACTGTGGCTCAAGTGGTAGAGTGCTAGCCTTGAGCTGAAGAGCTGAGGGACAGCGCCCAGGCCCAGAGTTCAGGCCCCATGACCAGCCAAAAAGAAAAGAAAAGAAAAGAAAAATATCAGTGGTAACCTGGTTAACCTGAAGCGAAAGTAAAAATTAAGAGGCCCTTGGGTCTCCAGTTTATGGCAGGAAAATGAGGTGTGAAGAAAACTAGCTCTGCTCCCTTCCATGTAAAACACACTTCAAGGGTGAAAACTAGGACAGAGTCCAGGAAAGTCATTTCCTGGCAGGAATAGGGCCCAGGCCTCCCAACGCATGCCCAGCTGGATTTCCAGTGACTTGGTGTGTGGCTGCTTTCACTTTCAGCCTTTCTGCCCTGCAGTGTGGGACTTATGTCCGTACCACCAACGTGGGAGCATATGCGGAGAGGCGGTGACTGCTCCACCAGCCTGCATGACAGGAGCTGTGCTTGAGAGCTTCACTGAAGAGCTGCACCCTTGGTCTCATCAGCCCCTGGATGGAATGTTGATGACAAAATCCTGAGATGAGACTTGGCTTTGTGGAGGGAGTAGGTGTATTTTCATGTGCAAGGGCTGTCAATCAGTGGGGCTGGAGAGACTCCAGGACAGCCTAAGTAATCCCTCTCCTGGCATTCACACTACTTTCCCTCACTGCTGTGTGCCAGATGGGCGTGCATGGCTAATAGAATTAGCTGTAAGTAATGATATGCCTCTTCTTCTGCCTTGGTTCTCTGTCCTGACTCATCGCTTGCTTTGGAAGCCATGTTGTTTGCAGCCTAATGCAGAGGACACTGTGCCAAGGAACTGAAGCTTCCAAGTGAACTTAGTGGACCCTAGCTCCAGCCACAGCCTCAGTGACTGGCCTAGCTGCCATCTGGTGAACTTGTGCTCCCAGATTTCTGATTCATAGAAACAGGGATGGAATGGGACACAATGTTTGTTTTAAGCTATTTTATGGTGATATATAAACAGTATAGGAAATAGCTGGGCTATCTTCTTCAGCAATGCAAAATCCTTACAAAATGGTAGATGTGTTTCACAGACCCGGTAAGTTTCCATTATTCTGTGAAATATACTCAAAATGCAATGCAACAAAAAACATTAACACTTCCAGCTCCACCTGTTCTGGTCACTTTCATAAGTTTTACTTTAGCTGTCCATCCATATCCATTTCCAAGGATTTTGAGTACAGAAAATGATTATCACTGTTAAAAGGAGTATCTCTTGCCATCTGTACAATTCAGTAGTTAATAGTGGTTCCTAATGTTTGTAGAATAAAATTCTCCCATCTCCTGAATTTTTTTTTTTGGCTAGTCCTGTGGCTTGAACTTGGGCTTGGGCACTGTCCCTGGGCTCATTTTGCTCAAGGCTAGCACTCTACCATTTGAGCCACAGCACCACTTCTGGTCTTTTCTGTGATTAATTGGAGACAAGAGACTCGAGGACTATCCTGCCTGGGCTGGCTTTGAACCATGATCCTCAGATCTCAGCCTCCTGAGTAGCTAGGATTACAGGTGTGAACCAGCAGAACCCAGCTCGGTGTTTGAAGTCTATCTTGCAATGTAGTAC